GGTTTATAGGGTTTATAGAGTTTAGGGTTTAGGGTTCAGGTGTTCTAGAGATTGTATAGGTTTTGAAGTTTGGGTTCAAGGCAGCTTTTTGGGTTGCCATGTTTGGCCTTGCTGGTGCGCCTTTAGGGTTTAGGGTTTAGGGTTTAGGGTTTAGGGTTTAGGGTTTAGGGTTTAGGGTTTAGGGTTTAGTCTGCCTGCAACCCTGAAGCCCGAAGCCCACAGACCCTGTATGCCTTTGAGCCTCCCCACATCCCCCGAAACTCGAATTCCCCTTAAGACCTTAGACCCTTAAAGCCCCGAATTCCCCAACCGCCCGAAGACACACAGCGCCACCCGAAAACCCCCCGTACTTAGTACGCCTGAACACCCAAAGTGCCCTAGGCTGGTCAAGAGCCTAAAAGAAAGGTCCTGTAGAGAATTTTTTAGTTGTAGGATTGCACCCTAAAACCCTAAACCCTATAAACCCCAAACACTAACCCCCAGACCCTAGACCCGCAACCCTAAACCCTAAACCCTATAAACCCTAAACCCTATAAACCCTAAACCCTAAACCCTATACACCCTAAAGCCTAAACCTAAAACCTAAACCCTTAACCCCAAACCCTACAAAATCCTAAACCCTCCTGCAGGTCCATGACGATGATCCGCCTCTACTCCCTGGAGCGACTCAGGGAGGCTTCTGGGGTTTAGGGTTTAGGGTTTAGGGTTTAGGGTTTAGGGTTTAGGGTTTAGGGTTTAGCGTTTAGGGTTTAGGGCCACCAGGTAGGTACAGTTTATGAGGAAATGTCCTCCTAAGTCATGCTAGGATAGGATCCCCAAGTATGTTTTGAGGAATGTGGTAGCGAGCCGGCATATCGGGAACAGGCGGATCCAACACCCTCTTTGAGGTTGGGGTCAGGGTTGACGGCTTAAAGACGGGTCTTAAGGCTCAGAGTTATGTAGGGCGCCTGCAGCAAACCCGACGAGTTGGAAGGATACTAAAACCCCCAAACCCTAAAACCCCAAAGACTACACTTCCTTTAGAGCGCAACTACGCTAGTCGCAGACCAGATCTCCTCAGATCCTCAGAACGGGGTTTGGTAGGAGCTAGCCGTAGATGCATGGGGCTCGGTCGAGAGCAGGGTCTGTGTTGTTTTTTTGAGGGGCAGGAGGGGGCTGAATTACTTTTGCAAGGAATCCCAGTCTGAACGCTACTGACGTGGGGACCAATTTGTATTTAACCCCGTGCTGTGTCCACTTGCTGGGGGGAAAATGGTGGTCCTGTCCTTAGCACCCTCATTCCCACCCCAAACCCCAAACCCCAAACCCCAAACCCCAAACCCCAAACCCCAAACCCCAAACCCCAAACCCCAAACCCCAAACCCCAAACCCCAAACTCCAAACCCCAAACCCCAAACCCCAAACCCCAAACCCCAAACCCCAAACCCCAAACCCCAAACCCCAAACCCCAAACCCCAAACCCTAAACCCTAAACCCTAAACCCTAAACCCTAAACCAAAAAGGGGGAACCCTTTCCGGTATTGTGGGATCTAGGCAAGCGTTGATGTCCAGGTGCGAGAGCTCGTTCTGGCTTTGGCTGCTGCCGCGGAGGCTCTACATCCTGAATTCCAAGCCCCTAAACCCTAAACCCTAAACCCTAAACCCTAAACCCTAAACCCCAAACCCTAAACCCTAAACCCCCAAAACTCCAAAACCGACTTAAACCCCAAATCCCAAACCCTGAAACCTTTATGAAGCCCGGAAGCCTTGAGCCCAAAGCCCTAAACCATCAAAGATTTTGGTCCGAAGGTCAGGTGGAGGCTAATGAATCACATTCTTTTTTCCATTCTTCTTCAGTGTTGGAGGGTGGGGGGTATGGGGTTTAGGGATTAGGTCTTCGATTTTCTTGTCTGTTAATGGGGGGTTTAAGGTCTTAGCGTTCTTGGCTCGTAGGGGTTGGAGCTTTAGACTTCCGAGCTTACGGTGAGCTTCGAAAGCCGGGCCCCAGCCAGAGGGCCCACCCCAAAACCTTAAACCCTAAACCCCTAAGCACTAAACTCCTACACTTCAAACCCCAAAGCCCAAAGCCCTAGATCATGGAAGAGAAGTCGCGTCCTGGTTGAGGTTGGTTGGGAGTTGAGGATGCTTTGAATGGAGCCCCAACTTAGATTTCAAAAAGCGCACGGAGGGTTTAGGGCAGGTCGGGCTCAATGCTTTAGTATTGCGTATTGTCGGAAATGGTGTTCCGGGCTTCGAAGCTTCTGGGGAGTCAGGGCTTAGCCAGGGCTTCGGTAGAAGAAAGAGGGTGTAGGCATTCTTGGCTCAACCCTAAACCCCGTTTAGGGTCCCTGCCCGCGGGCGTTCAGCTCTGCAAGCAGAGCTCGATCTTCTACTTCAGGACATAAAGGGCTGAAGTATCCACAGCCGTTCAGAGAGCTTTGTCGGCGGCAAGTTCGCGCTGTCCTGTGACTCTTGCAAGACGAAGTGCGTCGGACCGCAGCATTACCAGTGTGATCTCTGCCCCCCCCCCCAATGCTGCCAAGTATATGCTTGGAGCTATTTTGAAGGCTGCGCCGTGAGAAATGAGATAATTTGGAACTGTCCGGTGGTTCGGTTTTTGCCGGTTCGCAGCCGGGGCAGTTCTTGCACGGTTCGCGGGTCTTGCACGGTTCGGTTCCTACGGTTCCGGTTTCCTGGTTCATGGTTCGGTTCGACGGTCATCTTGTAAACCGTAAACCCTAAGCCGTAAACTTTAGGGTCAAGGACCCGAAGCCCTAAACGCTAAACCCTGAACCCCAATCAATTAACCTTAAAACCCTAAGCCCTAAACGCCAAGCTTTAGGTTCGTAAGCCCTAAGCCCTAAGCCCTCAACCCTCAACCCTCAACCCTCAACCCTCAACCCTCAACCCTCAACCCTCAACCCTCAACCCTCAACCCTCAACCCTAAACCCTAAACCCTAAACCCTAAACCCTAAACCCTAAACCGTGGTTAGGCTTGGCATGAGGCCGTGAGCCCCAGCAGTGGCCCCCTGGGAGACTTAGGGCTCGGACTTGTAGGGTTTAGGGTTTTAGGGTTTTAGGTTTTAGGGTTTTAGGGTTTTAGGGTTTTAGGGTTTTAGGGTTTTAGGGTTTTAGGGTTTTAGGGTTTTAGGGTTTTAGGGTTTTAGGGTTTTAGGGTTTTAGGGTTTTAGGGTTTTAGGGTTTTAGGGTTTTAGGGTTTCAAATTGCATGTTTTAAGGTTTTTTTGGGGTTTAGGGTTTTGGGGTTTTAGGGTTTTGGGGTTTTGCGGTTTTAGGGCTTTAGTCTAAATTTGAATTTAGTTGAAATTCACAAGGAGGACTGCCGCATTTAGGCTTTCGGGCTGCAATTCCAAAACCTGACCCGGATCCGGATTTCTCTATTGAGGGATGGGAGGGGGGGGAGAGCAGAGGGGGCAAATCTAAACCCTAACACCCTAAAACCACACCCCAACAGCCCCAAGAACCAACCCTACAACCTCAAACCCCCAAACCCTAGAACCCCAAAACCCCCAAAACCCTAAACCATACATACCCCTAAAACCACTCCAGGGATAGGCCCTTCTTATTCTTTCTCCGTGCTGAGCTCCGCGTAGGCGCGCCTGCCAGGGCTCAAAGCGGTTCCAATGCCAGGCCTGTGCGGGACGTCGTTGAGGGTTTGGTTTAGGAATTTAGGTGTTGAGGGGTTTTAGGGGTCTAGTGGCTGAGAGGTTTAGGGTTCAGGGGTTTAGCGTTCAGGGGTTTGGGGTTTAGGGTTTGTGGTGCCCGCTTGAGTTGTGGGGTTTGGCTGGGTTTCTCTGTTGAGAGGTTTGGGATTGATTAAGTGGTTGGTTTAGGGCTGTGGCTCCTTTCATACAGGGTCCGAGTCTCTGTCAGTCAACAACACAGCCCTGCATGTATGTACGCAGGTATGTGCTTGCCATACTTCTTGCGTGTGTTGTATCGTGTAGTTTTTACATGTATGTATACATATATATTGACGCATGTCATCTACTACTCAGGAAACGTATGCACGTGTCTGCACGCATCCCCACTAGCCGTTGCAAAGGCTAAGAGACGGTTCCGCAGTTGCCATGGCCGAGGTTCTTTTTTAGGATGCCGAAGCAAGGACCCTGAAGACCGCGAACCCCGTTTCCGGTGTTGGGGTTTGGGGTTTGGGGTTTAGGGTTTAGGGTTTAGGGTTTAGGGTTTAGGGCTCTTCCGCTCGGGTTTCGGGTTGAGGGTTTCACTCTGGGGGTTCATATCAGAGTATCATGCAGCCTACGAAAAAGAAGGTTTTGCGGGTCTCAGGGCGTTCTCGACTCGCACCCAAGCCTGGGAAGCTTCTGAGCAGGCTACACCCACATGCAGCGCGCAATGCCCACCAACGTGGGCACATGGCTGGGCAGCTTTGCAGAAGTCGGCAAGGGGGGGTGGAGGTCCCTGACCCTAAACCCTAAACCCTGAACCCCAAACCCCAGAACCCAAACCCTAAACCCTAAACCTTAAACCCTAAGCCCTAACCTTCAAACACGAACCCCCCAAGCCCCCCACGAATCGGAGTTTTGTTTGATGGATGTTTTGGCTTGGAGTGTCTTTGTCGGATTTTAGGGTTTAGGGTCGTGTGCTGTTAGGGCTTTAGAGTAGGTTTGGGTGCGGTTGTAGGGTGCACTTAGAGGGGTTTCGGATGCAGGGTTGAGCCCTGAACCCTGAACCCTGAATCCTGACGCTACAGCCTAAACCCTGAACCCATGCAGGTAGCGCCGTTAGCGGGGTGGGGGGGTTTGTCTTATTTTATTTTTATTTTTTTGGGGGGGGGGGGGGGGGGGTTGTCTTTCGGGAGTATGAGGGGCGGGGGGGGGGGGGTTGTTTTCCGAGTATGAGGGGGGGGGGGGGTGTCTTCTGGGATTATAAAGGGGGGGGGGGGTTTGTCTTGCAGGAGTATTAAGGGAAGGGGGGGGGTTTGTCTTTCGGGAGTATGAGGGGGGGGGGGTTAGTCTTCCACCCCCCCGTCTTTGGAACGGATGGGCGTGTTAGCTACTGGAGTGCAAAGCGAAAGCTTAGTGCAAGCGTATTTAAGTGGCAAGTTTCACATCTTACTGCTACAAGAAACTGCTAGTGAAGATTTCCGCAGAACGCTTCGGACGTACCAGTTCAGCTTTGTTGATGCGGAGGAAGAGTCACTCTTGCTAGCCATTGGTGGCACAGGCCACCACCATCTCGAAGTTCTCAGAGCAGGCCATGTCCAGAATGAGGGCGTGACAAATCCTGCAGAAGTGGCCACCCAGAACCTACATTCTTTGATCGTTCGGATAGGCTGGAAGGACAGCGAAGGAGACTTCGTCAACAGGGCCGGGTCGCGCACGTGGGTTGCCTGTACCCTGCCTTATGGACCCCCCCCCCGATGCCCGTCACCCCCCCCGCCCCCCCTTCGTAATCCCGGAGAACTAAACCCCCCCCCCCCCTTATACTCCCTGGAGGACTAACCCCCCACCCCGTGCCTAACGGCGCGGTCTCAACCCGTGAGGAACCCAAGCCTGACCCCTCACCCACTTGCCCTGTTTAGGGTTTATTCAGTAGGCATTTCGAGGGTTTTTGTTGATCATCAAGCCATGATAAAGGGAAGGCCCCACAGGCTAGCCGGCCCCTATGCCTAGCCAGCCACAGGGAACCCACAACCCCCTTAACCTACGACTCCACAAACCCTGAGGGGGCCTGAGAGGAGGTTTATAGGGGTGTACGGGGGTTCATAGGGGCTTGTTGGAGGTTTATCGGGTTTGTAGGACTTTAGGGTTTAGGGGTTTAGGGGTTTAGGGGTTTAGGGGTTTAGGGGTTTAGGGGTTTAGGGGTTTAGGGGTTTAGGGGTTTAGGGGTTTCGGGGGTTCAGGGGTTCAAGGGGTTTAGGGGTTTCGGGGTTTCGGGGTTTCGGGGTTTCGTGTGCAGTCCAGGTTCCTTCGCAGCAGGCTGGACAGACGCGGCACAGTTTCTGGATGGGGCGACGCTGGCATCGGTTAGCTAAGCGGCGACTCTTAAGAAGCCGACCCCAAGACCCTACTTGGAGGTTTAGGGTTTAGGGTTTAGGGTTTAGGGTTTAGGGTTTAGGGCTTAGGGCTTAGGGCTTAGGGCTTAGGGTACTTATAGCCCAATGAGAAGTGTAGTTATAAGTCACTTAGAAGCCCCTTAAGTGCCCTAGTAGTCCCGAGCTTCCCGCCCTAGACCCTTAGCCCTATACCACAAACTCTTCCTAAGCCCAACAGAGCCTCAAGAAGCCAAAGTGCCAACCTCCTCTTGGGCAGGCCCTTGGGACATTTTATCCCTGGATCCTATGTAGAAGTGTTTTTCAGAGGACTCAAGCGCCATCCTAGTGAAGCATCCACCCCTTCCTCAGCCTGAAATCCCGAAAGCTCACACACTGAACCCAGAAACCTGGGTTTATCTTGAGGGTTAAAGGTTTGGGGTGCTTGTGGAAACCCGAAGCACATACTCCTACTCCTACTATGTAGACCTAAACCCTAAACCCCTAAACACGAAACCCGAAACCCTAACCTAAACCCTAAACCCCAAACCCCAAACCCTAAACCCTAAACCCTAAACCCTAAACCCTAAACCCTAAACCCTAAACCCTACAAGGATCCGAGTCTTGGACCAGAACCCCTTGGGCTCCGCAGCGGGCTTCGGCATCAATGGACTGCAGCTGGCGGACTGAAAGATTTTAGGGTTTAGGGTTTAGGGTTTAGGGTTTAGGGTTTAGAGTCTAATGTAGGGGTCGGAGCAATTTCCTAATAGTATTCCTTTATGGTCCCTGCGGGTATAGAATTCGATGAAAAAACCCCCCCAAAACACTATTCGAATAACTAAGGCGACTACATTAGGGGTTTGGGGCTTTAGAGGTTGAGAGGTCCCCCAGGCTGCTTTTGGCGATTGCTTTTGCAGGGGTCCTAAGAAGGCATATCCTTTTTTTTTTTTGGGGGGGGGGGGGGGGGTGTTCAAGTGGACGAACCAAAGGGCTGGGGATTGAACCGACATGAACACTGTGAAGAACGACAAAAGGAAAAACATAGACCACCTCACGAAGCTTTCGGTTACGGGGTCTCGGATTCACCGCTTTCGGTTTGGGGGTCTCGGATTCACCTCTTCATTTTCAGCTCTCCGGGTTTGCGCGCTCCCTTCGAAGGTTGGACCGCGACGAGACGTCGAAACTGATGGGCTTCGCACGGACGCAGACAAATCCCATGTGCCCTGGCAGCGCCCTCGTGTACCTGTGAACCTCGTGGACCAAATCAACCCTAAAAGTGGGGTCATACACCCTGTACTACGATAATTCCTATAAGGCACATGAACCATACACCCTTTTAGGGTCCGGGAAGTAGGACGATGGAGAGGACTTTGGGAAGTTGGAGCGGCGCGTCCGCTTCAAGAAAGCTATCAGCGTCCAGTGAAAAGAAGCATACTTCGCACGGTGTCGCCGCTGTTGCGATGTAGGGTCGGGGAAAGGGACGGAGGCCTCCACACAAACGAGGGTTTAGGCGATTAGAGTTTAAGATGTCCCGAAGGCCCAAAGAATGCCCCCAACCCCACTCCCAGCTTGTGGGCTACCTAGTAGTGACCCTGCCTGGCCCCCCCAAAAAAAGTCACCATTACGTAGGTCGATAAACGATAAATCCTCCACGCACCCGGATCATCGAACCAGAGAGAATACCCGACTAGCCCCTAGATACTCCTGAATGAAGACGGACTTTATTTTGGGTAGGAGGGGTGGGGGTAGCAAAGGCCCTAGAGCCCAAACCCTTAATTGCTCTAAGTCCTGAAGTTCCCCTAAACCCTAAACCCTAAACCCTAAACCCTAAACCCTAAACCCTAAACCCTAAACCCTAAACCCTAAACCCTAAGTAACCCTGAGCCCTTAAAGTTCGCGAGAGAGGTATTGCGGACTGAGCCGCGGGATGTTCGAGAATGTCGCGCTGCAGGCTATGTCTTCGGAGAGGAGAGGTTCAGGGATTTAGTTTATTGGGTGTAGGGCTAGGGTTTAGGGTTTAGGATTTGGGGTCTACGGTTTAGGGTTAGGGTTTAGGGTTCAGGGATTTGTTTAACATGGGTTGGTGGTCTCTTTAAGTAGGGTTTCGGTTCTACAGGGCATATATTCGGGGTTCTTATTGGGGTATCTGGGGCGATATTAAGGTATGAGGGTAGCAGATAAAGAGGCCTCCGGCCTTTAAAAGAACAGTAGTTAAGATTGGGAGCCGAAACTGCAACTCTTGGCTCTAGTCTCTAGTTTAGGGTTTAGGGTTTAGGGTTTAGGGTTTAGGGTTTAGGGTTTAGGGTTTAGGGTTTAGGGTGTGACCACGAAGTGGCATGCTATTTGCTACACTTGGCACGTCTAGACCGGTAATGTCAACGTGGTCAACATTGCCAAACTTGGAGGTTCATGGTACTTATTAGCCAAGTGTACTTCTAACTTGACTTCTAACCATATTGGGGCACTTAAGGGGCTTATAAGTGGGTTATGAGTGCAGTTATATTTGGCTCATAAGTACCATGAACCTCCAAGAAAGGGTAAGGTGAGTTTTGTGAGGCGGTTTGCTGGCGGGCCAGCTCACGAAATGTGCACAGATCAAAGCCACAGCCCTCTGTGACCAAGCGATTGGGGCGTATGCTCTACTACCCAAGATGAGACCTGGGGATCGGATCCCATAGCGCTTGAACCCTGAATCCCAACGAAGAGACACCCCCAAAGAACCTCAAGCTCGGCTTTAGAACCCCCAGAAGCACGTAAGGCATGGTTCCCCCATGCCTTGTAGACCGGGTCTCCCGCCTTCTGCAAGGCCGTGCAGTCTGACAACTCCCCACCTGCAAATCTGGGAGATTCGGGTTTAGGGGTTTAGGGTTTAGGGTTTAGGGTTTAGGGTTTAGGGTTTAGGGTTTAGGGTTTAGGGTTTAGGGTCCATAGGCTAAGCTTGATGAGAGAGGCGATGAGCCTCTCCATGGTGTTGAGCTCGCGCTTCGCGACGGACTGCTGGCTTTGCTGGTTTTGCCGGTTCGAGTTCGTCACCCAAAAAAGCATATTCTACTATTTGCTTATGAACCCCCAAAAATAGAAGAATAATCCCCATACTACTCTTATAAGGAAGAATATGTTTCATTTTTTGGGGGGGGTGATTTGTTAGCGGTTCGAAGAGTTCCGGCTTCTGGTTAAGTGGGATAGTAAGCCTCATGTAGAAAGCTCAAGGCTGAATAACTTAGGGCCCCTACGTCCTACGTCGCGAACCTCTTAGCTCTCTGGGCAGTAAGAACTTCAATGAATCTGCTTTAAACGCTTGGCCCCTCTCCCAAGGCCCGCCGCCTTCCACCTCAGCCCTACACTCAAGAATCCTAGCGCTCCCCCTTCCACCCTGTCCCACCTTTTCCCTCCGCCCCCCTCGCCCACGTCCACCCACACGCAAACCACTACGTCCACCCACACGCAAAGACAGTGGACATTCACTTGCGCCATGGCAAGAGGTATATTCGTAATTGGCTGAGTCCCTTTGTGAGGACATGATGATGTTCACGCAGCAGCTTGGACAGACAGAGCCGTGGTGCATGTGTCCCCTACAACAGTTTAGAGGGTTTGAGGAGAGCCACTCTCTGAGCATCCCTCCCCCCCCCCCCCCCCCCCCCCGAACTCTCAAAACAGAGACCTCCTACTCATAAGACCCAACCCCATGGCCGATCACCTATCGCCGAAGGCCCCACGTCATAAGCCCTGAGCGCAAAGCACTTATACGAAGCCCCTGCAATGTAAATCGCTCAGCTTTCAAATACCTAAAACCCTAAGCCCTAAACCCTAAGCCCTAAGCCCTAAACCCTAAACCCTAAACCCTAAACCCCCTAAGCCCAAGAATCCTAGAACCCTAGAAGCCGAATCAAGCTCCAAAAAAGCCCCAGGCAAGAGACGCAGTTCTTGGCCTTGCCGGACAATTTCGTGACAGGCCATGCGGGTTTTATGTACAGTGCTTAGGATCTAGTGCTCAGGGCTTAGTTAAGGGGTTTCGGGGATGTTTGGGAGTTTGGTGCTTAAGGGGTTTCGAGGATGTTTGGGACTTTGGTGCTTGTTTGGGTCTTTGTCTTACAGGCTTTGAGGTGTTTTTGGGGGCTCCAGTGTTCCGAGGCTTCAAGGTTCGCTTCTAGGGTTTTCGGGCTGTGAAGTCTGAGGAATTTACGTTCGGCTCCCTCAACCCTAAACCCTCAACCCCAAACCCTCAACCACGAACCCTCGACCTTGCCTTCAGGCTCCTCAATCATGCCGCAGAAGAAGAGCCACAGCTTGAGCTCGGCAGCTTTCTATTTTTGTTTTTTTTTAAGGGTTGAGGGTTGTGGGTTAAACCCTCAACCCCTGAAAAGATAGACTCCCCCCCTTGTTAAAAGTGGTTGAGTGTAACCTGTGGCTTAGGGGTGGTAGGAGGCTTGGGGGATTGGCGAGTGGTCTTTTCAGGAACTATGACCTCTTTGAGATCATGCGGGCAAATGGCAAGGCCTGCTGCGACACGCTTGGGATAGCGTGGGAGCAAGGCCCAGCCTTAAAGCCCAATCTTTGCGATGTTCCCCCTTATACTGACAGCCCTTAGTAGGGATTCTAATCAGTGGTACTATCATTCCTGTTAAGGACTGTTAGTATTAAAAAGCAACATCCCAACCCCAAGCCCCAACATTTTAAATCCCTGAGAAGGTCGGGTGGAAGTATGTGGAAGTTCGTGGGGGTCGGGACGTCTGGGGGTGACTGGTTCCTTGAACATTATCAGCAAGCCTTTTCGTGGATGCCAAGAGGAGTGCGAAGGGTACCCTCAACCCTAAAGCCTACACCCTAAACCCTAAACCCTAAACCCTAAACCCTAAACCCTAAACCCTAAACCCTAAACCCTATTCAGAAAAGTGGCCGTTGCCCCACGACATTCAGCCAGCCGGAATCCGCAGACCCCTGAACCCCTTATTAAAGCCTCTCCCCCAACTCCAACGGTCTGTGTGGGTGCCCTTCGGCAGTTGTCTCCTGTCCGAAGGTCTTCGGCTCTCTACAGATGCAGATACAGGCCACCAAAGAGTTTTTGGGGTTTAGGGTGTAGGGTTTAGGGTTTAGGGTTTAGGGTTTAGGGTTTAGGGTTTAGGGTTTAGGGTCTGCAAGAGTCCCCAACCCCGTTGCGTCCCTGCAAGATCGGCCGCTTTCGAAGAGAACACCCCGGAAGGCCTAAACCCTAAACCCTAAACCCTAAACCTTAAACCCTAAATAAACCCTAAGCCCTAAACCCTAAACCCGGTTAACGTGGCCAGCTGGAAGCAGCAGCAACTGGCCCTTAGCCCAATTAGGGCTGAACGCTGTGCAGACTGTGGCTTTCAAAGCAGGTGATCAAATATGCAGAGCTCCTTGTGCAGCGAGGGCCGGTGTTGGAACCCTTTCAGAAAATCCCTCCCCCCTAATATGAAACCCCCCCCCTACCCCCTAATATCCTAATATTAAATAACTCCCCATAAACAAAAGTACAACCAGTAAGGGGGTATCTAATATTGGGGGGGGTAGGGGGGGGGGGGGTAGGGGGGAGGTACATTTTTAGGGGGACGGACTTACTGTTTGGGCACAGAGCTGGAAACTAGCTTGGCGTTGGCTGTGCCTTTCCTCTCCGGGATCCTATGGATCCTATGGATTGTTTAGGGTTTGGGGTCTAGTGTTGAGGGTTCAGGGTTTAGGGATGCTCAGCATGGACTGGCTCGTAATTCACATGATTTTCGAGAAGAACCTGATCGGTGCATGTCCGAGGACGGGTTTGTATAAACCCCTGAGCCACGAAACCCACCCTGAAGCTGTGTGACTACATCCAGCCCACCACCAGGAGACCATCGTCGGCTTGGGAAGCGGCTACCACCGCGACACCCGGTTGCCCTGTTGCTTCTAAGTTTCAGAGGCAACAGGTTTAAGGCTTAGGGCTGTATATGCCCTAAATCCACACATACGCAAACTACAGTCTCTACACCGCGTACTTCAATACCGACCCAGAATCCTGCAACTTATACCCCAGTAGATCGAATCGGATTTATTTCGCCTTCAGGGTTGGGGGCTTGGGCTTCGGGGTTTTGGGTTTTGGAAGGCTTGGCTGTTAGCCCTCTGAGAGGTCTCAGAGCTGGACAGGTGGCAACAGGAGGAAACCCTAAACCCTAAACCCTAAACCCTAAACCCTAAACCCTAAACCCTAAACCCTAAACTCGCTGGGGGTCTGTGGAGCGCGCATCTCCAGACAGGAGGCGGCAGCGGACCAGCATTGCCGCCTTTCGAGTCTGCGCAACTCCTGTCTGTTATGGCAGCAGGTTCGCCCATGGAAGCCCTGCGTAGAGGAAGGACAACAGGCGGTGGAAAGCAACCGCCTAACTGCGTGGCAGCAATCGCGGGAGCGAGCAGAGACCTCGGAACCTGCAGCAGCTCCGCAAAGGTCCGCTCAGGAGCAGGCAGAGAAGACACAGCCCGTGAGGCTGACAAGCGTGCCGCGCAATGCGAATAACCCTGAACTGTAGGGTTTTGGGTTCAGGGTTTGGGGTTGAAACAGAGGTTTTGGGTTTAGGACACTTTGGATGGTTGGTTGGTAGGGGTGTTATTTTGGTTTTAAGGCGTCTTGCCTGGCAACTTGAAAATAGGCTGATGACCTGAAGTCTCACTCCCGACAATTGCCCCCAGTAGACCTTAAACCTCACACCCCCAAACTCTGAAACCCTAAACCCTAAACCCTAAACCCTAAAACCTTGAAACATAACAAAAGTCCGACAGCGCCCTAAAAAATCGTCCCACTTGGCTGCCTGAGGACCTGCAGTGTACGAAGAAGGCCTTCATCGAAGCTTGTGCCCCGGCAGCGGCGCCAAGGAGGGCCTAGGGAGTTAGGATTTTACGGTGCAGGGTTATGGGAATTCACCCTACACCCTAAACCCTAAACCCTAAACCCTAAAGCCTAAACCCTAAACCCTAAACCCTAAACCCTAAACCCTAAACCCTAACCCGAAACCCTAGAACCCTCCCATCTCCAGCCCCGAGGTGACCTCTGCACGACCACATTGAGACTACTCCAGGAGGCCCATTGGGCCAACATGGCTCTGCCAAAAGTTGTGTATGTCATTAGGGTTTAGGGTTTAGGGTTTAGGGTTTAGGGTTTAGGGTTTGGGGTTTAGGGTTTAGGATTATTTAGGGTTTAGGGTTATTGGGGCCTAGGGTTCAGGATTTGGGGCTGAGGGTGTCATGTAGGTAGGGCGCGGGGTCTTTAAAACTGCAGCATGTCTGACAAGAGAGCACGATGGGTCATGAAACCAGAACCCCCTAAACCCCAAACCTCTACAGTTGTAGCTTGGGATGGTCGGCTTTTTCTAGCAGTCCTTACTATGGTCCCTTTTGAGGACTGTTTGTATAAGGGGGAACATCTCAAGTTATAGTCTTTTACCCGAAAACCCCAAAGCCTCAGGCCCAAAGGGTGCTCCTTGAACAGTTTGGGAAGGCAGGCTTGTTACATCCTATGACAGGGCGGTTGAGGGTTTAGGGTTTAGGGTTTAGGGTTTAGGTTTAGGGTTTAGGGCTTTCGGGGTACCTAGTCGTCATTCTCGCCAAGATGCCCTGAGGCTATTCCTGCCCTCGTGGTCAAAGAGGACTGAATGCTTGCTCTGGGCTCGTCGCAAAGACCCCAAGCCCTCATCAAACACTAGTGCAGCAGTTTCGTGTTCAGCAGTTCTAAATGGGAATATGAAGAGCCAGACTCAGCCCCACCTTTGACCTCAACTATTAAACCCTAAACCCTAGCCTAAACCCCAAACCCCAAACCCCACACCCGAAACCCGAAACCCTAAACCCTAAACCCTAAACCCTGAACCCTGAACCCGGAACCCTGAACCCTAAACCCTACCCCAACCCTCCCCAACCCTCCCGCGAAGGAGAAGCTGAAAGGTGCCATGACGGAGGCTTCGGGCCCGTGGTTTGCAGGGTTTCGGTTTAGGGTTTAGGGTCTAGGGTTTAGGGTTTAGGGTTTAGGCTTTCGGGTCTAGGGTTTAGGGTTTTGGGTTTAGGGTTTAGGGTTTAGGGTTTTAGAGGGTGTAGGGTTCACACCGTAGGGCCCAGGGCTTCAGAGTTCTTCGTGTTCTTCTTGGGCTTTGCTGGCAGTTAGGTTTAGAGGATTTGAGGAGGGGGGGGGAGGGTTGGGTCCGCCCTAAACCCCAAACCGAAAACCCTAAACCCTAAATCCTAAACCCTCAACCCTAAACCCTAACCCTAAACCCAAGCTGAAGTCCCTAGTCCTGGGCTCGGTCTCGGTGACCGGACCAGTGGTGTGCCTCAGGTCGGTCCGCATCTGGAACCCTGACTTCTGAGCACCTTAAACCCTTGCCCCTGATACTAAACCCCCTCCTCAATATTAACTACCCCCCATTATAGTTTTTTTAAAAAAAGAGGGGGGGGGGTATTTAGTATTAGGGGGTAGGGGGTTAAGATTAGGGGGGAGGGATTAAACCCCGAACCCTGCGCTTCACGGCCTCTTCTGTGGCTTAAGAAATTCAAAGCAAGTAGCGAAGCAAGTAGGGTATGGCAAGTGTGTTCCTGCTCCGAAGTTGACTGGGGCTGACCCTCTCAATCCAACCGCCACTCAACCCGAACACACAAACCCCAACCGTACGGAAGTTTCCCTAAACCCTAAACCCTAAACCCTAAACCCTAAACCCTAAACCCTAAACCCTAAACCCTAAACCCTAAACCCTAAATCCCTCTACCACGGGTTCAGGGAGGGTATGGCAGGGTTGAGGAGTGATTTTGGGGTTATCGCACTGCAGCTAAGCTTGACCCTAAACACCTGGCCGCAGGATCTCTTCGTCACGGATGAGGCCTCTTTATTTGTTCATGTTGTTTTTCATGTGTTGTTTTGTTGGGGTATCTAGGAGCGAGTCGAGCACGACACGCCCTAAAGCAGTTCCGGCTGCGGATTCCTCAAGCGGCTTAAGCCCGAAACCAGGAACGCAAGACGGGCCGCATGACCTTTCCAGGTCTACAAGCTCGTTGCTGCCGGAAAGCCTTTCCGCGAGGTTCGCGCTCTATGTGGGGAATCGATCGACTAGGGAGGGTTTAGGGGTTCAGGGGTTTAGGGGTTTTGGGGTTTAGGGGTTTAGCGGTTTAGGCCAGCCCTCTCTCCAGAATCCCAGTTTCCTTAAAGCCTACATGGCCGCAAACATTGCTGAATTCCTACCAGCGGTCCTCGCAGCATAGCGCGCCCCGCAACCCTAAATCCTAAACCTTGAACCGCCCCAAACGGGGGTTTCGAGAATAAGGGAGCCCCAAAAATAGCCCCCCCAAATAGTAGGATTCCCTTACAACAAGGGCCCGAATAAGTTAGCCCCGAATTATCGTAGACCGCCCTAAATCCCAAGCCTCGCCAGGCTTATGGCGAGGCAAAGGAGGCCTTCTTCAAGCGGAAGGCCGAGAAGGCCAGCGGAAGGGCTTAGGGTTCAGGGTTTAGGGTTTAGGGTTCAGGGTTCAGGGTTTAGGGTTTAGGGTTCAGGGTTTAGGGTTTAGGGTTTAGGGAAGGGTCTCCAGAAACTGCGGATGTCCCGGGACCCAGGGTGGGCCCCCCTTGTCCACTCTATTTAAAGGGTTTAGCTTCCCCAAAAAAGCCCCTTGTAGACTGCATCGAAGACGAAAGGTACCAACTCGCCATCTCACCACTGGCAACGGGCTTTGCTTTAGGGTTTATTTGGGGGGGGTGGGGGGGGGGGGTTAGGGGTACCTTATTGGGGTCCGTATTGTCAGGGGATCCGACTATTTCGGGGTATTCAGGGTCCCTTCTTCTCGTAACCTCCCATATGTTGATTTTCATTTTTTGGTGTCTTGTGTGAGCCTTCAGAAGTTTCAAGGGCGGATGCTTGCCATCCCATGAACCCTGCACCCGGGAGCATCTTGGACCCAGTGCTTTCTGGGGGCTTATGGGGGTCCTCATTGCAAGGGAACCCTACTATTTGGGGTCTATATTGGGGCTCCCGTATCTTCGTAAACCCCCAAGTCATGCCTTGGAGCATCCATGCAGCATGGCGACAACAGCTCCCCGCAGCAGGGTTTTTAGGTTGGTCGGAACCTCGGTTTTATTGCCGCACCCTAAAGCAGCCCTGAACCAAAAAAAGCCCCCCAAAACCCGACGTGACAAGCCCTGAATGCCCTTCTTACGCTTCGGACCTCATGAGATGCCATGGCCTCGCAAAGCCCTGGCGAATACTGCAAGGCCACACTCCTGGTGAAGTGCAGTTTTCGGGTTCAGGGCTGAAGGATTCAAGGATTGACCCTAAACCCTAAACCCTAAACCCTAAACCCTAAACCCTAAACCCTAAACCCTAAACCCTAAACCCTAAACCCTAAACCCTAAACCCTAAACCCTAAACCCTAAACCCTAAACCCTAAACCCTAAATCAACTCAGAGGTTCAGGTTGTCGTTCCGCACACATGGGGGACTTTACGATATTCGGGGTACCTTATTGGGGTCCTTACTAAAAGGGGGCTCCTACTAATAGGATTTAGGGTTTAGGGTTTAGGGTTTAGGGTTTAGGGTTTAGGGTTTAGGGTTTAGGGTTTAGGGTCCCTGATTATCGTAAACCCCCATATGTCATAGAAGTTGAAAGTGTATGGTTTAACTACACAGCTGATTTTTGAGAAGCCGATTGTCCGACGCATGGCCTTCAACCCAATATCCTCAAACAGCGCACTGAACCCTAAACCCTAAACCGTAAACCCTGAACCCTAAATCCTACACCCCTAAACGCCTAAGTCCTAAGCCCCTAAACTCCAAGCCCCTACTGTCAACTCTAGGCAAGTCTATACCTGATGCATCTTGCAAATGGGGTTGGGATGGGTATCTGGCGATCTTCTCCACGAAGAACCCGAAGCCTTAAACTGGAGTCCTTGGGTCGACCTTTATCTGAACCTTTGAAGCCCTGAAGTTCTAGCTTAGCAAACCCTGAACCCTACAGTACTGCAAACCCTAAACCCTAAACCCTAAACCCTAAACCCTAAACCCTAAACCCTAAACCCTAAACCCTAAACCCTAAACCCTAAACCCTAAACCCTAAACCCTGAACCCTGAACCCTGAACCCTGAACCCTGAACCCTGAACCCTGAACCCTGAATGAGGCTTGATAGGGCAAGAGACCCTAAAGCCAGTTTGGGGCCTCCTGTTCAGTCTCCGAAACCACCGGGAGTAGCATGGTGGATCCGAAGACCTTCAACCTTCTCCAAGCCTCTCCAATAGGGTTTAGGGTTTTGGGTATAGGGTTTAGGGTTTAGGGTTTGAAGTCTCAGGGTTTTTAAGTTCAGGGCTTTCCCCCACCTGCTGCCTGTGTTCCGAGGCCATTGCAACATGCGGGAGGATCCGGCTCCCTCCCCACACAGAGAGTAGGGGGGTAGCATGGGGGTAGTAGGGGGGTAGCATGGGGGTAGTTGGGGGGTAGTAGGGGGGTCGTCAGGGGGCAGTAGGGCAGTAGAGAGAGACCGCTGAAATCTGCACAGCCCCAAAACAAAAAGCCCTGCGAATGCCGCACTGTTGCAATGACTCACACGTTCTGGGTCCCTTTTTCAGTTCAATCCTCAACTCTGCAGCCTCAAGATCCCATGAACTGCCCAAATCTAAAATTTACTACGGGCGTTAAGCCCTGTAAAGCCTAAACCCTGTAAACCCTCTCGACCCTCCGGCCCTAGATCCTAAACCCCACCTAAGCCTTCTGTATAAAGGAGTTGGCTTTCAGAAATATTTGGGTTGTAGTTTAGGGCTTTGAGTGCAGGCTTAAGTCCAAGCACTCAGCCATACAGAGACCCAAGGTTGAAGTCTTACGGTTTCCAGTGCCTTTAGGGAGTTAGGCGGAGTTGAGGGCTTCAGGTCTTTCCGGGTTTCAGGGTTTTTTGGGGTTGAGGATTGGGGAGGGCGTCTGGGTTTAAGGTTTGGGGGGTTTGATTCGTTACACGTGTGTGTGTGTGTGTGTGCGTTTGTTTGAATCGTCCGTCTGCTGTCTCTGGGTGATTTAGCTATTGGTGTTCCATTCTCTGGTTGTTGAGGGTAGTTTTCCTTTTTCATTATTCCTTTCAGGTGATCCGCTTTAAGGGGTTTTCTTGTTTGAACATGGAGGCGCAACAGCTCAAGCTTTTGCCACAGAAGGTTTCGGCCTCTCAGGGCTTTGAGTGTAGGACTGAAAATTGTAGGGCCCAGCGTGTAGAGCTACTACAGCTACTGACTTTCTATGCTGGTCTTTTATGCCTTTGTACACTGCTGCAGCTCAGAATTAGCTGGCTTGTACCCTCTATCCCATGGCATCGTCTGGGTTGGAGGCAGAGGAATCAGCGGAGCCAGCCAAACTGGAGAGCATCCTTCAACATCTGGACGACCGGCAGCTGCATGAGGCTGTAGGCCGAATGCTTCAGCAGCAACTAGGTAGGCCCTTTCGGGACATTTTTAGATTTTCTCCTTACTGGTTTTATAAGGGGATCATATTCAGGAATCTTTTCAGGAGGGTTACAAAATGGGTCATCCTAGGCAAGACCAGCCCGCTTGGGAAGATCTGCTGCGACGCTTTGAGACTTGCCGTGGCGGCCGTCGCCCGATCACCTTCCAAGAGCTGAGTGGGCAATCGGAGCAGCTGGAGCTTGAGGCGGGACAGAAGCTGTCCCACGTGAAGCAGCTGTTGCTTGAGAGGGTGGCGCATCGCTTGCCGGAGCCTCCGGCAGACAAGAAGAGGAGCCTGCAGCTTTTCGACGGGTCTGTGACGCTTGGCGATGACCTGATGGTGGCGATGATTCCTGACCAGGTATCAGTTGTGTACAACTTGGTCGACGACTGGGAGTCCAGCTCAGGGTCCAGCTTGGGGTCCAGCCTGGGCGACCTCTTCGGATAAGCAGGGACCCTGGACTGGCAGGTTCTGCGCGGGTATGGTGTGCTGGCAGAGTGCAGCGCAGCGCAGCGCAGCAGCAGCACACCCTGGCGAGAATCCAAAAAGGTTTACATCCGAAACACCATGCACATGCATGCGTATATAGAGACCTTGAACCCTAAACCCTAAACCCTGAACAGGAGGGCCCAGTGGCAGCATGCACTCGCCTTGCTTTCCCAGCTCGAGTCCTGCCAGCTGCTGCCCAACGTGGCGCATCCCGGCGAAGGGCTTCGGGTTTCCAGCTTAGGGTTTAGGGTTTAGGGTTTAGTGTTTAGGGTTTAGGGTTCGGGTGTAGGGTTTAGGGTTAAGGGTTTATTGGGCTTTTGAGGGAACAAACAGGGCGACACTAGTTGACGTGGCCTCTTGTGACTGCACTCGTTGGTTGTCGCGCAGTGGCATTTCTGTGCGACCTAGGGGAGGTACGGGTGAGGACTTCACATGCACTTAGCACTTGGCATTGTTGACGTCCAGGACTAAGCGCGACAAAAGTCAGTGACGTTTCAGGCCTCGATGCTGAAGTCTGGAACACAAACCCGACACAGGAGCCTCATGGACCTGAACACCTGCAGCCCTGGGCTTCGGGGGGTTTAGGGTGTAGGGGGTTTAGGGTTTCGGGTTTAGGGTTTAGGGTTTCTGTGAGGGTTGGGGAGGGGGGGGGGATTGAGCCGCGCCCGGTTTCGGGCACGGGGATCAAACGCTCCAGAAGACAAGTGCCGAGGTTCTTCAACGTGGCCATCAGCGCTTGCGAGAAGCTTGAGCAGCAAACCCTCAACTTTGAGAGGCCTAGGCGCCTAAACCCTCAACCCTCAACCCTAAACCCTAAACCCCATCAACTGTCAGACTTTCAGAACCCTGGGCCCTGAAGCAGCGAAGATGCTGAGGAAGGGCCGACAATGGCAGCAGGCACTTCGACTCCTCAGGGAGTTGGAGTCCAGCTTCCGGCCAGATCCTTGCGCAGCAAGTTTAGGGTTTAGGGTTTAGGGTTTAGGGTCTCGGGTTTAGGGTTTAGGGTTTAGGGCATGGTGTAGGTTTCAGGGCTCAAGGATTCTCTCAACATCCCAAAATTTTATGCTTAGAGATCGGGGGTTTGAAGCCTCGGCATAAATCTAGATGTTGTGCCAAAGATTCTGGCCAGGCGTACCATGCTTTAGGGTGTGACCCGGAGCCCTGTTTGACAAAAGTGAGCGAGTCGATTTGCCCCGATGTACGCCTCTTCTCAGCCTAAACCTTGTGAAGCCTCCTCACGCCCACCCTAAACCCTAAACCCTGAACCCTAAACCCTAAACCCTAAACCCTAAACCCTTGCCTCATGGCTTTCTGGCAGGATGAGATCAGCTACAATACGGCCATCAGCGCCTGTGGCAGGGCAGGGCAGTGGCAGCAAGCACTGCTTCTGCTCCAGGAGCCATGAGCTACCTGTTTGGGGTTTGGGGTTTGGGGTTTAGGGTTTAGGGTTTGGGGTTTAGGGTTTAGGGTTCAGGGTTTAGGGGGTAGCAAGGGTTCCAGCACCATGATGTTTGGCTAAGTGTTGCTGGGAGGGTGACGTAGTGCTCCACAACCATCAGTTTCACTTGGAGCAAAGCAGATTCGTTGACATAAGGCTGCAGAGCAGCCAGACTTTGCTGCAGACTCCCAAACAAGGCATCATCCTCTCTTGCGATTTCAAGGCTACGCGTGCTCTCAGATGTCATGCACACATGAGTTTTTGGAAGTACCTCCCCAGCCCGACAAACCGAGAAGCCGGTCTGACTGGTGGTTAAAACCCTGAAGTTTTGTCAGCCTATCGGCGAACACATGCCCGCCCATCCCCACCCCAACCACCAGCCCCTGCACATAACTACCGTTTGACTAGGAGCCCCAAAAGAATAGAAATTAAATGATCCCTATATTGCCCTTAATAAGGAAGAATATTCATATTCTTTCGGGGTTCTTAAGCATTTAGTATATAAAGGACCCTGCACTTGATCTCCTGCACCAACCGCTAAATCTACATGTGGATCCCTTTTGTGAGTCCTTCTGAGTGAGGGATCTGATTTGATTTGATATAGCTTTACGCAATCCTCTAATATAGGGGTCGGAAGAATTGCGAAGAGTATTCCCTGATGGTCCCTATATAAGTATACTATATATAATAACCCCCCCCCCCCCAAAGAAAAAAAAAACAAAAAAAAACCTACTCAAATTATCAAGGCCCCTATAGTGGCCCTAAACCCTAAAACCCTAAAACCCTAAACCCTAAACCCTAAAACCCTAAATCCTAAACCCTATACCCTAAACCCTAAACCTCCAAGACCCTATTCTAAACACTAGGGCCCCCTATAGCAGATGCCCCACACATGTCCCCCCCAAGTGCCAGGAGCTGGAGTCCGGTGCCTGCCGGGCCGATGTTATCACCTACAACTCTGCCATCAGCGCCTGTGAGAGACTTAGCTTTATTGAGGGTTCAGGGGTTAGTTTTTTTTTTTTTTTTTTTGGGGGGGGGGGGGGTTCGTGTGTAACATTTCAATGTCAATATATATATATATATGGGTATAATATAATGTGCACATCGTATGTAGATCATCGTAGATAGTTGAGGGTGTGAGGTTCAGTGAGGCTTGGGCTTTGTAAACAAATGTCTTGCGTATACTTGTGCAGACTGCAAGCCCCCCCCCCCCCGCCCCACACCAAACCCCACAACCCCAAAACCTTGGACCCTATACACACCAAACCCCCTCTATCTGCTGAGATATAATTTATCACTAAACCCCAAATCCTCCAAACCCCTAAACCCCTAACCCCCTAAGCCCTAACCCCTAAACTTACCCCTGAAGCCCCAAACCCCTAAACCCCTAAACCCCCTACACCCCTACAACCAAGGAAAGGTCGTGCCTGGCCTTGGGCGCTGGAGCTCTTCTCGGAGATGGGATCACGTGAGCTCCGGAGGAGCATCGTGACGCCTCTTGGCGGCAGGGTAGTGCCCTATGTCATGAGAATCCCTTTTGGGGTGTTCCCCCTTATGCTAACAGTCCTTGATAGGGTTTATAGTGCCCCCTATTTTTGTCCCTAATAAGGACTGCTTGCAAAAGGGGAACTTCCCAACCAATCAAGGTACATGAGCCACAAAGCCCTACACCCTAGACCCTTTTTGGGTTCATTTAGTCTACCTGAACCCGCTTACCCCCGCCCCCCTACCTTGCCCGGAGTATGTGGTGCAGGTATCGGAGGGGTTTGGTGGTGTTGGGGGGGTTAGGGCTTTGAGGTCAGGGTCTACCACAGACTTTCGGGTTTAGGCTCTAGGCTCTTGCGGCTTCGGATGATCTAGAGCCATGCCCATGGGGGGGCACAACCCCGATTGCACAACAACTTTCGTCGCATAGTTGACACGAGCTTGTGTGGCAACCACTCCCTAAACCCTAAACCCTGAACCCTAAACCCTGAACCCTAAACCCTAAACCCTAAACCCTAAACCCTAAACCCGAAAAAAGTCGCACCATCCTCTGAATCCTTAAAGGCCTATAAGCCCAGCAACCCCTGAAAACAGTCCAAAAAGCCCAAAACCCTAAACCCCTAAAACCTAAACCCGCAAAAAAACTATAGCACCCAAAGCCTTGCAAGTTCCGAGGTTCAGTGCTGCAATCAGCGCCTGCGAGAAGGGCGATCGCTGGGCAGAAGCCTTGCACTTGCTGCTCGGTAGGACACTGGGACATTTTATGTTTGGGTTGAAGAGCAATTACTGAGTACCCCAAACCCCAAGCCCTAAACCCCCAAAAAACACCTGCACCCCCAAGACCCCAAACCCTAAACCCCTGAACCCCCCCAAACCCGAAACCCGAAACCCTAAACCCTAAAACCTAAACCCTAAACCCTAATCCCTAAACCCTAAACCCCTAAACCCGGAACCCTAAACCTCCCCAACCCCCAAATCCCTACAACCATTTTTCAGAGCGCCCTTGCTACCTTTGGGGCCATCGGAGGTTGTCGCAGCTGGATCTGGAAGGCCTCCATGCGAATAGCGTGGCCTACAATGCGGCTGCCTGGTTGCAAAGTTCGGGTTCTTAGGGGGTTTAGGGGTTTTTGGGGGGTTTTTGGGGGTTTTTTGGGTTTTTTTGGGGGGTTTTGGGGGGGTTTGGGGGGGGTTTAGGGGGTTTAGGGGGTTTAGGGGGTTTGGGGGGTTTCGGGGGTTTAGGGGGTTTAGGGGGTTTAGGGGGTTTAGGGGGGTTTAGGGTTTAGGGGTTTAGGGGGTTTAGGGTTCAGGGTTTCGGGTTTAGGTTGGTTGTTCCGCTGAACCCTCCACCCTAGTAGCCATCTAGAGACCCTAAGCACACACAAGGCCCAATAAAGGGGGCAAGACCACAGACGAATTCTGGAAAGTACTGAACATCAATCCTAAACCCCAAACCCTAACCCCTGCCTTCCCTTTTTGCCCCCCCCCCCCCCCCCCCCCTCCCACGGTGTTTTGGATTTCGGGACTTAGTTTGGAGGGTTGAGGGGAAGCAAGACGACCGTCACTGCAAGGCGCCCGCGTCCCGAAACCCCAAGCCCCGAACGAACCCTACGAGGCCGCACAAGGACCAAAGGCCCGAAAGTGCTCGCACGCCAAAACCATCGATGAGCACAAAATACGAAGCCCTAAACCCCAAACCCCAAACCCCAAACCCCAAACCCCAAACCCCAAACCCCAAACCCTAAACCCTAAACCCTAAACCTAAACCCTAAACCCTAAACCCTAAACCCTAACCCTAAACCCTAAACCCTAAACCCTCAACCCTAAACCCTCAACCCTCAAACCCTCAAACCCTCAAACCCTCAAACCCTCAAACCCTCAAACCCTCAAACCCTCAAACCCTCAAACCCTCAAACCCTCAAACCCTAAACCCTAAACCCTAAACCCTAAACCCTAAACCCTAAACCCTAAACCCTAAACCCTACCCCTACGCCCATGGAGTAAGGCCCTGAGCGCGCTGGGTCGGGGGATGGAGTGGCAGAGAGCTCTGAACTTGCTGACCCAGATGCCTGGAAAGCTTAACTGGGGTTTAGGGTTTAGGCTTTAGGGTTTAGGGTTTAGGGGTTAGGGGTTAGGGGTTAGGGGTTATTGCTGAGGCTTTAGGGGTTAGGGGTTTAGAGCAGCTTTTAGGTAGGATTTCTTGTGTTTGGGGTTTTGGGAGGACGGTTTTGGGAGGACATTTGGGGTTTGTTGGTGCTTCGGGGGCTTGAGGGTTGTTTTTCGATGTCTGCTGAGTGTTTTGGATGCACTGTGGCTTTGGGGCCTCAAGGAAAACCCATGTCCCTTAGGCCGCAAATTCCCCCAAGCAACCGCAAAAAGTCACGCCTTAACTAGTGTCGTCGCGAGGGATTCGTCCATCAGACGATCCCAGGATGGACGCAAGCCTCGTTCGGACAGATGCTGGCGGCTGAGCTTTTTGCTACAAAGCCTGCGTACACCCGAAACCCCTAACCCCTAAATTCCGAAATCCGAAGCCCTCAAGGAAATAGCAGGTGGGTGATGACACCCAACACCACCACAGGAGGCGTTCATCCACCATCCCGGCCTTGTATACTGTAGGAGGCGGAAGAATCAGAACAGGATCTTGGGGGGTAAGCCATGTATATTTAAACAAGGGAGCCATAAGGGAATATCATTAGCAAATTATTCCGAGCCCTAAATGACCCGAATGAGACGAGGTGATCTCTTTCAACGCTGCGATCTCCGCTTGCGAAGGGCCAGGGCGCGCCACGGCCTATCCTACACCCTTCCATAAGGGGTTCAGGGTTTTTTAGGGCTTATGAGGCTGAAAAGGCAAACCCTGTAGTTAAACAAGAAACTCGAAGCAGCCCCCGAAGCTTCTAAACCTCAAGCAAAGTTGGTGAAGCCCAGGTCATCCGTAGCCCCCGACACTCAACCCAGTTGCCCTGAGAACAGCGTATGCGGTTTAGGGTGCAGGGTATGTAGGTAGGACTTAGGGTACGAAGCCCTAGAGCCCCAAACCCCTAGACCCTGTATATCCATGCTTGGGACTTATAGGTGATTTAGTGAATCTCAGTTGCCGAGCGAAGGGCCTTGTGGATCTTAGGGTTCCATTCTGACCAGTGAAGGTGTAGCGAGGAGAGGGCCTTAAAGGGTGGGGGTGTGGAGGGAGTCGGGTTTAGGGTACGTTCGGGCTGGAGGTTGAGTTTCAGATCCTACACTCTAAACCCTAATTAAACCCAAAACCCCAAACCCCAAACCCCCAAACCCCCAAACCCCAGACCCTAAACCCTAAACCCTAAACCCTAAACCCTAAACCCTAAACACTAAACCCTAAACCCATAAACCCTAAACCCTAAACCCTAAACCCTAAACCCTAAACCCTAGCATGGTGGAGCCCAAGGCTGGCAAGCGGCACTGGACCTCCTGCAGGAGCTCCTTCTGCGGCAGCTCCACCCGACGGCTGCTGGACGCAGATATTCACGGGGCGTTTGGGGTTTAGGGTTTAGGGTTTAGGGTTTAGGGTTTAGGGTTTAGGGTTTTAGGGTTTACGGTTTAGGTTTTAGGCTTCTTTGAGATGCGTCTTCCCATGTGCACGAGTTACAGAAATCATCCCTAAACCCTAAACCCTAAACCCTAAACCCTAAACCCTAAACCCTAAAGCCCTAACCATGTTTGAGTCCCCCCGGATCCCATAATTCATCCACTCGCGCCTGCGTGGGTTGAAGAATGTCCCAAGCACTTCAGCTGCACTGACAGCTTAAAGGGGTTTAAGTGGAGATGGATCTGTCTGTGGATGTTGGGTTGATTTTTTTGTGGCTTCGAGTCTCGTTTTATATTGCTTTATATCATGGGGTCCTGGCTTCCGGTTTTTGTCGGCTTCTTAGCCTTCTTGGCTTTTGGCTTGGCCTTCCTACCAGTAGGCATTCCTTGAGTAAAGCCGAATGCCCACGCTTAAAACCATGCAAAGCTTGCTTTCAAGAAATCCGCGCCATCAGCAAGCAGTCGTGCAACGCCTTCTGAGCCCTTTCCGAGCGAGCATTGGGTTTGCAAGTGGGGAGCAGCCAAGACTTCTGCATGTTGCACGTCGTCTTTTAAGAGTTCTAATTTGCAGCAATTCCCAAAAGAAGTCCGGGGTCGAGACGAATTCAGGGTTTAGGGTTTAGGGTTCAGGGTTTAGGGTTAGGCCCGAAACCCTGCCTCTCCAAATCCTCAGCTTCCTTTGGCTTGCCGAGGTCGTCACCTACAGCGCTGCCATCTCTGCCGTGGCAAAGGCCGGGCCAGGTCGGTCCAGGGCATAGTTTGACGTGTAGATAGCGTGCAGGGTTTAGGGATTAGGGTTTAGGGTTTTGGGTTTAGGGTTTAGGGTTTAGGGTTTAGGGTTTAAATTAGGGTTTAAGATGTCGTACTTAGGGCACAACCCCCCAAGCCCGAAACCCTCAGACTATGGTACTCGGCTAGAAGGGGTCCTAAACAACGCACGATTCAACACTCCCCATGTTGTGAGAATCGCCTGAAGGCGATCCCTCAAGCCTCAACCCCGACTCAGGGTTACAGGGTTTTAGGGCTTGAGGGTGTTAGGGTTTTAGGGTTTTAGGGTGTTAGGGTTTTAGGGTTTTAGGGTGTTAGGGTTTTAGGGCTTTAGGGTTTCTATGGTTTACGTTCTCGATTTCGCAAGGCAGGGCTGTGGCAGCTCGCGCAGCGGCTGCTTTCAGAGCTCCCCTCGCACCAACTCACAGGACAGCTTAGGGTTTAGGGTTTAGGGTTAAGGGTTAAGGGTTTAGGGTTTAGGGTTTAGGGTTTAGGGTTTAGGGTTTAAGGTTCGGGGTTGCTGCCGGTGAGCCCTCAAGCCCTAAGCCCTCTTCATCAAACTTCCAGAAGAAGAATCTGCACAGCTAACGGCTTAGACCGTTGAAGCTTCGCCCCTTAAGCCTTAACTCGACCATCCACGACGCCTTAAAACCCAGAACCTGAAGCCCTGCGACCCCATGAGCGAATGAGAGGAAACGAGGTCACCTATGCCGCCGCCATCAGTGCGTGTCAGCTCGAAGGGGAGTGGCAACAGGCAGCACCACCCAAACCCTAAACCCTAAACCCTAAACCCTAAACCCTAAACCCTAAACCCTAAACCCTAAACCCTAAACCCTAAACCCTAAACCCTAAACCCTAAACCCTAAACCCTAAACCCTAAACCGACCTAATCCTTCTGGGATTGTATGCCGGTTGGTCTGCATTCTGGGCCCGCTCGGGATCTCCACTTGCTAGTAGTTTCCTCATCGCACACGGTGCCAATCTTGCTCGATCCCCAATTGAAAGACCAAAGTCCCCAAGCCTAGAAGCCGAAAGCCAGAAACACTCCTTTCAATGGTGCACTCCTGCTATTAATGGGGGGGGGGGGGGGGGGGGGGCGGAATAAGTACTACTTCCCTTCTGGTCCCTTTGTAGCTATACTATAATGACCCCTTTACCCTAAACCCGAAAACCCTATTCTTATCGCTAAGGCCTGGAAAGAGATACGCGCGATCTTGGCACACTGGGCTTGATTGTTCCCTGAGGGCTCCTTGTGGATAGTAGAAGCCCTACTTCACATGTCATAAGGATCCACGGGGGTGTGGAGGGCTCACATTCCGTAAAGGCTGATTAAAGCATCATTTGGGGACAGGTGCCCTTACAATCCTTGGTTCCCTACCCAAACCCTAAACCCTAACCCCTAACCCCTGAACCCTAAACCCTAAACCCTAAACCCTATGAACATCACGGAATCGGGCTCAGCGGTTCGTTTTCGGGAGCTATGGGGGGAGGTTGGTTCGGTGGGACCTACAAACCCTCTAAACCCTACAAACCCCTCTGAACCCTACAAACCCTATGAACTTCTATGAACCCTATGAACCCTATGAACCCTATGAACCCTATGAACCCTATAAACCCTATAAACCCTAAACCCTAAACCCTAAACCCTAAAGGCGCTCGTGTTCCTCATGGAACTCTGCCGGCAGCATCGGCCCGACCCCACGGCCTACAACGCAGTGCCTCCCCTACACGACTGCTCGGGTTCAGGATGGCTCAGGAAGGTTTAGGGTTTAGGGTTTAGGGTTTAGGGTTTAGGGTTTAGGGTTCAGGGTTCAGGGTTTAGGGTTCAGGGTTTAGGGTTCAGGGTTTAGGGTTCAGGGTTTAGGGTTTAGGGTGATTTATGTTTCCTCTTGCTCCGGGCTCCACTATGTTCGAGGCCGCACGCCTTTCCGAGGCATAACCCTGCTCTGGACCCCGCTTGCTACCCCCAACGCTGGAAGACTCATGAGCTATGTTACCTCTGAAAGCACCTAGGCAGCAAACCCCAAACCCTGCACTAAAGCCTAAGAACCTCATCCTACAAACCCCAAGCCAAAAACCAATCCCTAAACCCCAAACCCCAAACCCTAAACCCCACACCCGAAACCCAAAACCCTAAACCCGAAGCCCTAAACCCCAAGCCCCAAACCCCAAACCCTAAACCCCAAACCCCAAACCCCAATGTCTTAGTCACTTGGCAGGTGCTGAGCGTCTTCGCCGCGGCTGCCCTGTGGCAGCCCGCCGTGGCGATGCTCGGAGAGCCCCCCCGGTTCAATTAGGCCAACAAAGCGCATGGAGGGCTTAGGGATTAATTAGGGTTTAGGGTTTCGGGTTTAGGGTTTTGGGGTTTAGAGGGTTTAGAGGGTTCATCAGGGTTTATAGGGTTTGCGGGGTTTAGTTTAGGGCAGGGTTTAGGGTTGCGTAGGGTTGAGGGTTTTTAGGGTGTAGTGACTCCGAAGCGCCTGGAGCCCAGGTTCGATCGTGCCAGTCTCGCTGCCTCCGGGCAAGAAAGCGGTCCAGCTGGGGCGTTTAGGGTGTAGGGTTTTAGGGTTGAGGGTTTTGGGGTTTACGGTTTTAGGGTTGAGGGTTTTAGGGCGTTTAGGGTTGAGGGTTCAGGGTTGAGGTTTGCAGGTGTGGGCATTTTTCGGAATTCGTGTTTGGGTGGTTTGGGGCTTAGAGGGTCCGACACTGCCAGCAAGCCCCCCGTCATCAGGCTTAGGCTTATGTCAAAGCGCCCCTGACAACCCTTTACCTGTGAACCCCAAAATCCAAACCCTATATCAACGCCCAAACCCCTGTAGAAACCCCCTAAATCACACAAGACCCACATCCCAGAGCTCCAAACTCGTAGCTCCCGAGGCAGATATCTTCTCCTACAGTACCGTGATCAGCGCCTGCGAGAAGCGGCAAGAGTGGGAAGTGGCCCTCCTCCTCTTCAAGCAGGCTGGCTTAGGGGATTCGAAGATTCGGGCTTAGGGTGTACAGGGGTTATAGGGATTGCCGGGAATATGTAGGGATTATTGGGGTTATGTAGGGATTATAGGGATTGTAGGGATTATAGAGATTATAGGGATTATAGGGATTATAGGGGTTATATAGGGATTCTAGCGATTGTTGTGGCTGCGGCTAAGGGTTGAGGGGGGGGGGGGGGGGTTTGCAAGAGCAGCGGCCTGAGATAAGAGGGTTGAGGGCCGAAGGGCTTATATCATGGGCTTCCCTACTACCCCCCTCTATACTACCCCCCCTAGGTTCCCTCCCCTAAATAACCTTAATGAAGCCCATGATTATAGGTCATAGGGCTCTTGAGGGCAATTAGGTCACAGAGATTGGATGACGAGTTCGAGTTTAGGGCTGAAGGAGCGTCAGACTATGCAAGGAATTGTTACGTGATTGAGGAGCTGACAATGAAATAGCATCAACACTGAGCTGAAGATTGAACTATGTGTTGAGATGCTAATTTTTGGCGATAAGCAGGCAACACTGCACATGCTTAAAGCTTATAAGGTTGTATTGCGCACTAGCAAGGGTGATGAACATAAACTCTATGTCGCAAAAAAAGAGTATATGCCGATGGGCAAGCATGGCTTTCCATTCAGGCCTCCCAAAACCCTTTGAAGCCTAAACCCTAAACCCTAAACCCTAAACCCTAAACCCTAAACCCTAAACCCTAAACCCTAAAGCCTGTCTTAATCCCCCATAGTTTAGACCCTAAACGCTGAACGTTCAACCTCGCAGGCTTTCGAGCTTCAGGGTCTTCTCTTGAAAGGTCGTCAGGGCCCTAAACCCTCAACCCTAGACCCTGGCAATTTAGACCCTCAACCTCAGCTTGGCTGCTTTGCCACTTGAAGGGGTCGAGGGAGGCTTAAAGATTTTGAGGGCGTGGGGTTAGGGATTTGAGGTTCAGGGGCTCATAGGGTCGAGGGTTGAAGGTTTAGGGCTTGGGGTTTAGGGGTTTAGGGCTAGGGTTTAGGACTTGAGGGTTTTGGGGTAAGGGCTTAGGGCTTACTGGTTCGGCCTACGCCCGAAAACCCCAGCTGCAAGTGTTGACACCAGGCCGGGGAATCGATGCTCCAGCGCCGCCTGCCCCAGAAAAGGGTGTTTAGGGTTTAGGGTTGGGGGTTTAGGGTTTAGGGTTTAGGGTTTAGGGTTTAGGGTTTAGGGTTTAGGGTTGAGGGTTGAGGGTTGAGGGTTGAGGGGTACTTCAGGATGTAGGGCAGAGCTTCGTTTCTTATAGGTGGGGTTTGGGCGTCGATGATGTCAGGGACGGTTCGAAAGGTTCGACAGCCTGAACCCCCAAAGGTATGGCCGAAGCCGAGCGGGGGGTTGGGTTAGGGGTTTAGGGTTCAGGGTTTAGGGTTTAGGGTGTAGGGTTCAGGGTTCAGGGTTCAGGGTTTAGGGTTTAGGGTGTAGGGGTTTAGGGCTTTAGGGTTGGGTTTTAGGGTCGAGGGTTGAGGGGCTCAGGGTCGAGGATTCAGGGAGTTAGGGTCTAGAGGTGTTCAGGGTCTTGGCGGCTTAGGGGTTCCTAGGATTAGGTCTTGAATGCACTCCAGCTGCTTCAGCCAAACCAACAACTTGCCGGTGTTTGATCCAAGCCAGCCAGTTCAGCGGTTTCCTTGGGACGTGCTTGGAAGTTCATGGGTACTTATAAGCCCTAAACCCTCAACCCTAAACCCGAACCCTATCCCTAAACCCTAACCCTAAACCCTAAAATCCCTGGACCCTAGCTCCACCACATCACGGTGAAGCCCCTTAAACTCGGCACCTGACATTCCCAAGCCAAAAACCCTCGTCACAGCGGGGTAACATTTTGCAATGTTTAAGGGTAACTCTCAATAGGAATCGAGTCATGACATTTTTAGTACTATCCCAACCATTATATAACCAGCTTAACTCCAAAAAAGGAATCGAACTTTACATTTTTAATACAATCCCAACCATTATATACCTAGCTTAAACTCAAAACGGAATCGAGTTTTGACATTTTTCAATACTATCCCAACCACTCGCAAAAACCCTGAAGGTAACACCATCACCTGCAACTCCGTCCTCAGCGCACTGGAGAGCCACAGACTGGTTAATTCCCGAGCTCAGGGCCCCCCCAGGGCTTGCGACTTGGGGGTTAATGGGGTTTAGGGTTTAGGGTTTAGGGTTTAGGATTATGGGGCGTGCAGGTTGGGAGTTTGGGTCTTCGGGTTCGGTTCAGGGCAAAGTTGCTGCTGTGCATTCTGTCCCCATGTGCAAGACACCACTCCCGACAGCGATGAGCCATAGATGTAGCAGTGCTGGGTTTTATGGATGCAGGCTCAGAAGTTCCGCCGTTGTCGGCTAGGAATTGACCCAGAGTTGCAAGGCCTAACGCGGGATGTTCCCCCCTAGACGAACAGTCCTTACTAGGGATGATAGTCGGGGGTACTATATGAAGTAGGGTATATATTTCTTGTACCCCCAAAAGGACACCAGGCATATACACTCACCAATTTTAAAAGGGAACCTTATATACACTCACCAAAAACAGAAATATAAACCCTGCTTCATATATTCCCTTTTAAGGAGCTGTTAGAACAAGGGGGAACATCCCAAGTGTTACGAGTTAAGGGCTTGAGGCGTTAGGGCGACCGAGCCGCTGCCCAGGAAAGGGGCACAGTGGCAGAAGGCCCTTCTGCCGCTGGAAAGCAACGCAGGCGTACAGGAAGCCTTGGCCCTAATCCCTATAAGCCCTAAACCCTAAGCCCTGAGCCCTAAACCCTAAACCCTAAAAAAAAAAATAAACCCTAAACCCAAAGGGTGAAAGTAGCTTGCAATTGTGGTTGGGAAAACCTAGCCCACCACGATTAAGGTACGACAGAAGGTATTTTGGACCCCTCTGGGGAATGTGTTGGGGTTGGGAGTCTAGAGTTTGGGGATTACGTCTGTCTAGGCCTTGCTTAGTTTGCGATCGGCTGGATTGATGTTTTCGGGGTACTTCCTCCTTTCGGAACCCGAAACCTGAAGCTTCATCCACTCCACCTGGGTGACCACACCCTGCGAGCCCCATACCCTCTGATGCCACTAAACCTTTCAACAAACAACCCCAAATCCTGACGAAAAGCCTCAACTACCAAACCCTTGCCCTAAAGCCCTAAAACTCGAAAACCTTAACACCTAAACCCCCCACCCCAAGCCTCAACCCCTGAGAACCACAAAGCCCTAAGCCCTAAACTACCCGTAGCCCTAGACCCCGTAGCAAATTGGCTCAAGGTTCTCCCAGAACCATGAGGCATACGCGTACGGGACAACCGTAGGGTCTTCCCATTCCTAAACGACGTTCTATCGCAGTCCGATCGAATCCCTACTTAAAGTTTCATGGGTACTTATAAGTAGGGTTGCAAGTCCCCTAAATAAGGTTATACCCCCAGTTACCCCACTGATAAACCCTAAACACTAAACCCTAAACCCTAAACCCTAAACCCTAAACCCTAAACCCACCTTCAGAAAAAGGCCCCTCCGGCATAGTGCCTCTGCCCCAGGCTCCTGTCGTCCATGCTTGCAGACCTGGTGGAGGCGACGGTGGTCACATACAGACCCTGGGCCGGTCCAAATTCGAGCGTTTTGATTGTTTTGGGGGTTTAGGGTTTAGGGCTTAGAGAGCTTGGGGTTTAGGGTTTGGGGTTTGGGGTTTAGGGTTTAGGGTTTCGGGTTTAGGGTTTAGGGTTTAGGGCTACTATAGGGGCCTCAAATAAGTAGAACAGGGTTTAGGTATTGTAGTATCATTATACAGGAACCCTAGGGGAATAGTATTAGTAATTCTTCCGAACCCTATATGAGATCGCTAGAGGTGCAGATTTTGAGGGTTTTAGGGTTTTCGGGTTGAGGGTTTACAGGTTTAGGGTTTTAGGGGTTTAGGCGGTTTAGGGTTGAGGGTTGTAGGGTTCAGGGTTGAGGGTTCCTTTTTGTCTCATGCACTCCAGGGCATGTCATGTTCAGATCATAGGTCCGCTGGGTTTCAGAGGACCATATTCCGGAACATTGTTCAGAGTGTTTAGGGTTTAGGGTTTAGGGTTTAGGGTTTAGGGATTAGGGTTTAGGGTTTAGGGTTTAGGGTTTAGGGTTCAAGGGGCCAGCCTAGGTATTTGCCAAGCTAAGACGGGAGAATTTTTCAAGGCTTTCACATCTTCCTTTCGGAGCTCCAACTGAATCCCGGAAGCCCTAAGTCCCTAAGTGTCACTTCACTAAATTGTGGTTTCTTTTGTGGTTCGAAGTCGGCCCCTAATACTTAGGGTACCCAAAAAAAGGGACCCTAGTTTAGAGAGCTCGCCAAGCGCCAAGTCCCTAGATCCCTAAACCAAGAAAGCCTTGAGATGTTCCCCCTGATACGAACAGTCCTTGACAGGGATGATAGTAGGGTTTAGGGTTTCGGGTTTAGGGTTTAGGGTTAGTAGGGGGTACTGTAATCCCTACTGAGGACCGTTAGTACAAGGTAGAACATCCCAACCCAAGCCCCCATAACACAAGACCTTTCCCGCAAGAGAACCAAGGCGCGGCCATCAGCGCCTGTGAGAAGGGACGGCGCTGGCAGGAGGCCATGTGTCAGAGCAGGTTTTGGGCTTCTTGGGAGTTTGGGGGTTAGGGTTTAGGGTTTAGGGTTTAGGGTTTAGGGTTTAGGGTTTAGGGTTTAGGGTTTCGAGAGTACAGGGCTCCGGGTGTTGGTGGAGGTGGCCTTCAGGAGCAAAATTTGGGGGCTTGTGGAACCAGCTCTGAGCCACTGCTGCCCCATGTTGAGCCCAGCCCACCTCATGCCTCCGCGGGAGCGGCCTTTTCCTAAACCCTAACCCCTAAACCCTAAACCCTATACAATTTCCGGGAGCTTGCTCCGCGCCTGTCTGCCATCAACAGTTCGAGTGGGCGCCTTTGGCCACACGCCGCCCTCAGAAGTAGGGAAGAGGCGACAAGCTGTAGACCAGTCTTATCACAGTGTATTCATATATAGGTACGTTGGTTTTAAACAAGGTATTCATATAGGTACTTTGATTTTGTTTTGAAGCAGTCTTATAGTCTGATCACAGTGTATTCATGTAGGTACTTTGTGTGTTCTCCACGTCGCATCAGGCTTAGGGTTCGGGGTAATGAAAGGGTTTAGGGTTTAGGGTTTAGGGTTTCGGGTTTCGGGTTTAGGGTTTAGGGTTTAGGGTTTAGGGATTGTGAGAATCAAGACAGATGAGGGCTTAGGGGCTTGGGGACGATTTGGTTGGCCCCCCCCCCCCCCCCTTCCCACACACACAGCAAGAGCCCTAAGACGGCCATATGGCTACTTTGCAGCATCCCATATTTTGAGGTAGCGAGGTTCGGATTTGAAGGTTTAGGGAGTTTGGTCACTAGCCCTAAACCCTAAACCCTAAACCCTAAACCCTAAACCCTAAACCCTAGACCCTAAAGAGGCTTTGGAGCTGCTGCTTTCCATGGCGGTTGTCCACCTCCGTGCCAATGTCGTGACCTACACCGCGGCCATCACGGCATGCAGTTGCCTGCCTGCTTGGGGTCCAGGCTTTGTGAACCCTGAACCGTTGCGGGGCTCTTCTTTTGCCGATACGCAGCCTCAACCCAAGACCCTAAGCCCTAAGTCCTCTCAAGCCATTGAATGCCGAGTTGAGTCACTAGCTGGGTCAATCGGAAGCCGCACTGAGCACTGGCTAGCAAACAGCAACAACGGTAGCAGTAGCAGCAGCAGTTGTGGGTAGTCGTTTGCCGTAGTAGTAGGACGAGGAGCAGGAGTAAGAGGAGCAGCAGTGAGTAGCAGTAGCAGCGTCTAGGATTTGTGGACCTGTGGGGTTTCCATGCCGAACCAAGATGCACAACCCCCCCCCCCCCCCCCCGCCCCCGAAGGCCTAAGTTTAGAGCCTTGGTGGTCTTAGGGTTTAGGGTTTAGGGTCTACCCTAAACCCTAAACCCTAAGCCCTTAAAGGTCTTGGGGTCCAGGGCTCCTAACTTCTCCCGGCTGCACAGGTTCGGCCAGCCGCTGGGAGCTTGCTTTGACGGTGCTAGGCATGCTCCAAGCCGAGGGCCTCGCAGGCACCCCTGTGACATGGTGGCTGGGTTTAGGGTTTAGGGTTTAGGGTTTAGGGTTTAGGGTTTAGGGTTTAGGGTTTAGGGTTTAGGGTTTAGGGTTTAGGGTTTAGGGTTTAGGGTTTAGGGTTTAGGGTTTAGGGTTTAGGGTTTAGGGATCCTAGAATGCCCTATAGAAGTGAAAGTGTACACTTTTTGGGCGCTTCTGAACTCAGCAACCAGGATGAAAGCAGTAAGCCAGCCCGAAGATAAGGGTGTAATATTGGGACCTTGATAATTGCAATTGGGGCTTGGAGGGGAGCATAGTATACTTATAAAGAGACCCTACAGGAAAACCAGAAGCAATTAGTCCGACCCCGATAGTAGGGCGTCGGGGGCTGCCGGGTGCGGGTGAAGGCTCTAGCCGGCTGCGCCCGCTGTCTTTCAGGGGGCTAAACCCTAAACCCTAAATCCTAAACCCCAAACCCTAAACCCTGAACCCTAAACTCTACAAGCCCCCACGGGCAGGCAACTTCATTACCTACGATGCAGCGCTCTACGCCTGCGATGTCGGAGCCCAATGGCTGCGGGCCTTGCTCCTCGACCTTTGCTTAGGGTTTAGGGTTTAGGGTTTAGGGTTTAGGGTTTAGGGTTTAGGGTTTAGGGTTTAGGGTTTAGGGTTTAGGGTTTAGGGTTTAGGGTTTAGGGTTTAGGGTTTGGGTTTAGGGTTTCGGACTACTAGGTAGGCCTTCGGGATATTTTATATTTTCCTCTACTGGGTTTAAGAGGGTCAGGTTTAGGAACATTGTTCAGAGGGTTTTAAGGGCCATGCTAGCACAGGGTGTTTGGGGTTCATTCGTTTAGTGTTGAATTAGGGTTTGAGGTTGAGAGTTGAGGGCTTAAACGGTGTTCTTATCGATGTTTGCAGGGCTTAGATAGGGTCACGGCCGATGTTTGCGGCCCGGTCTTTCCGGGCTGAAGGTTCAGTTCTTGTGTGTTGCAGTTGTGGGCATGGGCTCACGTTGCGGGCAGCGCGCCCTCAACCGACCAAAAATTTATGGGCCTGGGGTTTGAATGTTCATAAGTTTGTGTTGTGTTTATTATTAGTAGTCGTCGTCGTAGTAGTAGTAGCAGTAGTAGTAGCAGTAGTAGTAGCAGTAGTAGTATTGTTAGTATTATTATTAGTAGTATTATGATTAGAATTATTATTTGTATTATCATTCTTGTTAGTGGTGTTTTTCCAGTGTTGAACTGGACCTTGAAGGCTAGCTAAAACCATATGGACCCTATATCGACCCGACGAGCCTGGCTGTGGAAAGCCCAAGAACTTCCCCAAAGCCTTCCTCACCCTGAAACTCCTTAGGCCTGAATTTTCGTTATAGGATTTTGGTAGGGCTGTTTCTTACCCGGAAACTCCTGAAGCCTGAACTTTAGTTATAGGATTTTGGGGTTTGGGGTTTAGGGTTGTTCCGACCCATGGGTTTCGGGTTTTATAGGGCTTCGAGGATGGGTTCGGGATCCGAAACATGGCAGTACGGTAGTGATCAACCCTTGAAGCCTCAAGCCAACGCCCCCCCCCCCCCCCCCCAGGCTTCTTCTGGCAGATTTGGCCGGTGGTTCCCTGCCAGTCCTTGCTGAGCGGCAGCGTGCGTAGAGTTCGGGGTATGCTTGGTTGCTGGTAAGGAATGGAACATTAAGTCATAGGCCTACCCTGTTCGATTCAACTTGAAACCCAACAGCATGTGCTGTCGGAATAAACAGGCGAAGCATCTCCAGCCCTAAACCCTCAACCCTCAACCCTAAACCCTAAACCCTAAACCCTAAACTCCTCAGCCCACCGGAGGGTTCAGGCCTCTTAAGATGTGGGATTGTGTTTTTGGGGTTTCGGGTTGAGGGTCTCTCTTCTCCTGGCAGGCTCCAAGAAGCCGCGCAGGGGGGGAGGGGGGGTTGTTCTGCAGGGGCTCCGCTCCTTTTCCGGCACCTGCTGCGGGTTTAGGGTTCAGGGTTTAGGGTTTAGGGTTTAGGGTTTAGGGTTTAGGGTTTAGGGTTTAGGGTTTAGGGTTGAAGAAGCCTTTGTGGGGTTTACGGAGTGAAGAACAACCCTCCCCCCCCCACCGCCGCCGCCCCCAACATGGAGATGCATGGCAATGATCCCATGTCGCGGGAGCTCCCGAAAAATGAGCTTGTCCGCAACACGCAGAAATCAGGGTTTAGGGTTTAGGGTTGGGGTTTGGGGTTAGGGGGGGGGAAGGGGGGGCGGGAGGGAAAGGGGGGGGGGGGGCGGGGGTAAGGTCCTTTTAAAGCCTCATGCCACTCAATCTTTAGAACCACTAATGCAACGCATTCCCTAAACGCCCAAACCCCCAGGAACACAAGAGCAGCAAGAACCACCAGCAGCCACACGCAGCATGGTCTTCCACATTGACGTGCAATTAGGTGAGGTGTTGTGAGGGTGCGGGTGGCATGATGCTGTGCGAACCCTTCTGCAGTCATCAACCCTCAACCCTAGACCCTTCTTCTGACCATTTGAGAATGGGCTTGAGACTCCGAAATCCCTGCTTAACCTCGCCGCCAGAAAGCCCCACAAGGCCCGAACACCCGAAGCCTCGCAGACCCTGCCCCATGCCGGTAAGCCCACAAACCCCTTAACCCTAACACTCCCTGTGCTTCAAGAACATCTCATCAGGAGGCGGGAGCATCCGCCAAAGCCGCGAAACACTGAAGGAGTGCCGAATAAAGAAGGGGGTTTAGGCGTGGTTAGGGTTCCTAGTGGGGTGGATGCACTGCACCCCGAAACCCTACAAACCCTAAACCCTACCAACCCTACACCCCACAAACCCTACACCCCACAAACCCTAAACCGTAACCCTAAACCCTAAACCCTAAACCCTAAACCCTAAACCCTAAGCCTTAAAACCTCTAAACCCCAAACCCTGTGCAGGACACCACTTACCCAAGAGCGCGGAAGACACTTTTTTTCCAACTGGGAGACACGCAGGCTCGAGAGCAGCAAAAGTGTGACCCTCAGCACACTCTGTAGTCGAGTAAGTTGCTTTTAGCCCTAAACCCTAAACCCTAAACCCTAGTTGCTGTCCCCCCCTATGTGGGGAGTGGGGCTGTGGCTTGGTACCCCGTTCTACTCCCCAGGCTTCGTAGAATCCCCCTATCCAGTTTCCTTGGAGGAACCAGGGGTTTTGGGGAACTTTGGTCTCGGGGCACCTTCGGCAGGATATAGGGCGCTTGTTTTTTTTTTTTAAAGTTTGTTTTTTTTTGTTTTGCGGGGGGGGGGGGGGTAGGCACGACTAGTTGGAAGCGCTGTGCCCAGACGATGACTGAAGTGATTTGGGTCCTTAAGCCCTACTGGGACTTGCAAAGCCTTCCCCGCCCGGTGGCCCCCAAAACCCTGAAGAACCCTAAGCCCTAAACCCAAAACCCAAAACCCTGAAGAAACCTACGCCCCAAAACCCTCTTGAGCATCTGCGTCATGCGATGCCAGTATGGCCGGAGGCCGTACGCTGGGCAGTTCTCAAAACTGCGGCTTGGGTTTCGGAAATTTAGGGCTTTAGTGATTAGGGTTGTTGGTCCTTCAAGTTTTTTGGTCCTTAGGGTTTAGGGTTTGCAGGGTTTGCAGTTTTGGGGGTTGGTTGAAGTTTGATGACCGCCCAGGTCTGGAATCTCTTAAAGCTTATTCGCTCTGGCTGGCTGCATGGTTGTGCAACTGCAGAGCTTGATCTCAGCATTCGCAGGAGCCAGTTGTCCGCAAAAGGTGCTTGAAACGACTTCTTTCGCAGTCGAGTTGGCCATCGTTCACCTAATTCCTGAGGACCCTTACCACTACACCTTAACCAGTAAACCTTCAACCCTAAACCCCAAACCCAGCCCCGAATGCACAAGTACGGGGCTTCCCTTGGGTCCGAAGTTCAAGGGCTTCTGGGGCAGCGCAGACCTCGGATCGTGGCTTGAAAAAGAAGCTCTGCTGAAGTAGGTACCCCAGAATCTGGGTTTAGGATTTAGGGTTGGGGTTTAGGGTTTAGGGTTTAGTGTTTTAGGGTTTTAGGGTTTAGGGTTTAGGGTTTAGGGCTTAGGGTTATACCGTTATACCTCCTCGATCTGCTGCGATGGCCTCCGCAATCTATTTGCGCTAAAAGCAAAGCACTGGCTTCGCAAAGACCAGCTTTAGACAGGGCTTTAGACAGGGCAGGACTTAGGGGTTTAGGGTTTAGGGTTAGGGTTTAGGGTTTAGGGTTTAGGGTTTAGGGTTTAGGGTTTAGGGTTTAGGGTTTAGGGTTTAGGGTTTAGGGTTTAGGGTTTAGGGTTGAAAAAATTAGTGTTTAGGGTTTAGGGTTTAGGGTTTAGGGTTTAGGGTTTAGGGTTTAGGGCGGTTTTCCTAAGAGCTAGAACCCGAACTTTCCCTAACCGACAAGGGTGGTAGGACTTCTTGCGGCCAGCCAGCCAGCCAGTTTTTGACCTGCCCCAGCTCTTGTGATGAGGTTTAGGGTTTAGGGTTTAGGGTTTAGGGTTTAGGGTTTAGGGTTTAGGGTTTAGGGCCTGAAGGCTGGAGTAGTGCAGCAGAGTCCCTCCCTTATGTGCTGCTTGACCACTGCATAGCAACCAGCGAGTTTGGGAATCTGACATGCCCTATTTCCCTGGCACTAGAGAAACCGAGACCCGGACCTAAACCCGAAACCCTAAACCCTAAACCCTAAACCCTAGACCCTAAACCCTAAACCCTGTTTTGCCAGGGTACGGATCTCCGAAGTGCCTTTTGCTGGAAACCTTATTCCTTAAGTCCTACGCCTAAGCGCCCGAATGCAGATCTTCCGGCAACCCGCAGCCCGAGCCTTCGCAATTCGTGAGGAGCAAGGGCGGTTTAGGGTTTAGGGTTTAGGGTTTAGGGTTTAGGGCTTAGGGCTTAGGGCTTAGGGTTTAGGGTTTAGTATTTAGGGTTTAGAGGCGCTTGCCCTTGAAACCGAACTCAACCCTAGACTCAGCTATGGAAGAGCTGGGGTGTGGGCACAATTGACAGACTCCAGCCGATGGCTTTCACGCGACGAGGCTTTATAACCTGACGCAGCAGATGAGGAAAGTGGCGTTCCAAGCTAGGCTTTCTACGGTCTGAGATTTCGGGTGAGCCTTGGTCCCTGCTACAAGCCCTAAACCCAACCCCCAAACTACCAATTGCATAAGAACCCCCCCAAATAATGTAGCGATTCTTCCTTACAAGGCTAACACAGGGATTGTTCTTTAATATTTTGAGGGGTATCTCAGCCAAATGGTAGAACCCCCAAACACTAAACTGTCCTTGAGGAAGTCACGAAGCGCAAGGGGGTGTAACCTGGGACCACATGGAAGTCCAAACCAGGATTGGACGCAGGCTGAACAGAGCTGCTGTTAAGGAAGTCGAGTTTAGGGTTTTTGGTTTGTGTGTGCTGGGGCCTATGATTTGATTGTATAGTCGTGAGGCCATTTTGGATACGATCTAGGGTGGGACTTGCTGCTTAGAGGTTCTAGGGTTTAGGTCTCCATTCGAGTCCCGCTTTGGGCTCGCAGGCATCCTTCCCCTAAGCCCTAAGCCCTAAGCCCTAAGCCCTAAGCCCTAAGCCCTAAGCCCTAAGCCCTAAGCCCTATGCCCTATGCCCTAAGCCCTAAACCCTAAACCCTAAACCCTAGGCTTTTGTATTGTAGAGCAGTGTCATTTATCCGTACCGTGCTGACGGGTGTCGTCGAAGCATACCCAAGACGCCAACAAGGACTCCGAGGGCCTGCATTTGTTGCACATGGTTTAGGGTTTAGGGTTTAGGGTTTAGGGTTTAGGGTTGAGGGTTTAGGGTTTAGGGTTGAGGGTTGAGGGTTTAGGGCATTTCTAAGAAGACCAAGCATCCCTTCAGCGGCCATGGCGCTCTCTGCTCGCATTACCCATGTCGAGTGCGGCAAGTATGGAACGAAAGTCATTGCTCCTGGACACGGCTTCCCTCATGGGGCACGGATCCAGGTCGTTGGCGTACCTTAGGGATACTTGGAAACATTTCTTTCGGGGCACTGGGACTCCTAAGAAACAGCTAAGATTGTGATTTTGCTGGGGTTCCAAGTTCAGTATAGGTGCGAGCTCTGGAGGGAACCTTCGTTGTTCAGCACTTCAAACGCATGGGCAACAACAGCTTCGAAATCCTCCGGGACGTTTCTGCCGAGATCGAGTCTGTCGACCCTGTCAGCTCGATTCTCTGTCGTGCTTTACTGTAACTTTATATCCTTAGCCTTTTTTGGGTTTATAGGGTTTCTTAATAAGGCAGCTAAAAATCTAAGTTTTTCGCTACCCTGCTAAGTGCAGCCGAGGATTGTTCATACAAAGACACCGCACCAGATCCCCAACAGACACGACTCGGTGCAGATCTGTGGGTGCGACATGGAGGCCGGTGTGCAGGCGGAGCGCTTCTTGGTGTTTCCCGGTGGTATACCCTTTACCCTTGTTTGAGTTCCAGGTTCCCTTGGAAAGTAGCCAACCCAAAAAAGGGTGCCCTTATCATAATCTGGTTACTGGGCTACCAAGGATTCTACCACATCGGTGAGATCTGTGATAAGATGTCCTTGCGCTTGGAAGAGTACTGTCACGACAGACGAGCCTTTCGTCCGGCGAAGATTCCCGCCGGCCTTGCGAAGGGATGGCTTTGCCGCAAGAGTTGCAGCATCGTTCTGCCAGAGTCGTGTAGTGGGTCGAGTAGTGGCGTGGCTTCTCTGGTGTTTCGGCCACCTCCCCCGGAAAGCACCTGCGTGCTGGAATGGCGCGCTGCGCTTGGCGCTGCTCAGATGTCTTGCAAGCTGCCTCAAATTTCAGATCTCAAGCCACCGCGAAGCCCAGAAGCAACTTTGCTACATGTCGGGAAGTGTGGGTGGGAGTATTGCACGGGTCTATTCCAGAGACAAGCTGACCTGGACTTCTGGATGGGGCCAGGTCTCGTGTCTATCCGTTACGTGGAAACTCTGGGTTGGTGCCTCGGCAGCAGATGCCCTAAACCCTAAACCCGAAAGCCGAAACCCTAAACAGCACTCCTGATGGCGGTGGGGGGTTGTTTCTGTTTCAACGCACGCATGTGGCGAGCAGGTGCCTGTTGGCGGATGTGGAGCCTCTCCATCCTTTGCAGGAGGAACGACTATACCTGAAGTTGGCAGAAGGGCGGGCGCAGCAGCTCCTTTATGTTCGGCAGGATGCTGACGTTCCTGAGCATGTTTCAGCAAGACTCCATGATCATGCTCAATGATGACTCAGTTCCATATGATGAGTCTATATGTATATATATATATATATTTTTTTTTTATGTATGGTACCCCTACCCCCCCCCCCCCCCTCCAAAGACCTATGCTCTTTTGTGGGCCTCTTCTGTGGGCCTTTGGGGAAGGGTGGGGTGCCGTGGTCACGAGTTTCCAAGAACCAAGATTTCAGGGGGTGTTGCCTCTTTGTTCTTGGTTTCCGAGACCCTTTAGATATATTAAAACTCAGGGCCCCAGGAACCAAAATGTCAGGGAGTCTTGCTTCTTGGCCCTTGGTTCCCAGGGCCCTGGGTTACAAAATCACAAGTTTTAACCATATCTGTTTAACCCAGGGCCCCCACGAACCAAGAACCAAGAGCCAAGATTTCAGGGAGTTTGGGTTTTTGGGTCTTTTTGTAACTAAGACGTCAAATAGATTTAACGGATTTTATCTGTGCTTTTGGTTTCGTTCCCTTTTTTCTTCTATTTGGATACGTGGTCAATTCTTGCAAATACATTATCATTTTCTTATTTTCTGTTGTCTGATAAGCTTCGCTCATGCACCTACAATATAGCATTTAATGGGCTCTTTAGTATCATTCTCCAGGGGCAAAAAGCCTTCATGGTTTATTGCAAATAAGAGCCCATGAAATACCCAAGAAACACACTTCACGTCTTTTCACTTTCATAAGATATTTAATCCTACGGACTTTTCCTGGCCGCGAGAAGATAATAAGTTTAATGCGTGATGCCCAAGAATACCAATAAAAGGGCTTAGAAGAGTGCATGTCACGTAGAATTCCGTAAATTGCAGGGGCGAAGTGATCCCAAAATATGGATTAAATGGCTTAGTTAAATCTCTAGATTCATGATTACGGGCTTCAATTTCTGCTACTTGGTGCTCTTGTTCAGGCACGTGTGAAACGCCCGCAAATGATGCGTCCTGCAGATGAACACCATAAACTACTTCTACGGGCTTGTGTTCATGAGGAAATGAACGGGTGTTCTAATCGCTTCGTTCTTCCTCCTTTCTCACCCATTAAATCCTGAAATCGTATGCTCCTCGTGGAGCATGTGGTGGAGAAAAGGGTGAGCAGGACTCGTTCTGGCCTTAACCTTTAACATATCTTCGCGTGCATACTGACACTTCTTATATCTTAGGGTTTAGGGTTTTGGGGTTTAGGGTTAAGGCACGACCTATTCTTCATTCGACACGACTCGTTCCTGCCTCGATCTCTTTACACTTGTAAAGGGAAGGCGGTCAAGCAACATCACCCATAGGGTTTACGGTTTAGGGTTTAGGGTTTAGGCAAAGTCCAGCTGCGGGTGCTGCTGCACCATCCGCTCTGGGGCGCCAAAACAAGTCCCAAGTAAAGGGGTGCACTTCCCAGACAGTTTTGTTTTGGCTGTGGTTGCATAGCTTGCCAGAGGTGTTTCTCCTACTCTTCCTAAGCCCAACTACAGTAGTGACCAGTTTTTTTGGTCTTTTCCCTTACAGCACCATCCGCATGTATTGTGTTTCTCACTTGCAAACAGCTTAAGTAGGTGGAGTGCCTCCAGACTCCCAGCCCTGAGACCCAGATCCAAGACCCCAAACCCAAGACCCAGGTTTAGGGTTTAGGGTTTAGGGTTTAGGGGTTATCGGTTAGGGTTTAGGGTTTAGGGTTTAGGGTTTAGGGTTTAGGGTTTAGGGTTTAGGGTTTAGGGTTTAGGGTTTAGGGTTTAGGGTTTAGGGTCCAAGATCTAAGTAGCTACAACACAACTTTCATGTTTTTGAACTTCGTAACTCGAAGAGTTCAAGCAGGTTCTTGCTTTGTGGTGAAAAAACAATACTGGGAGTCAAGTCCGTTGCATGGCTTTTCTTGAACCCGTCGGATTCCCACGCCCTAAACCCTACTTCTCTCTGTGGCTCAGGTTTCTTACTGTTGGTTAGAAGGGAATCAGGGAATAAGAGACCTATATATACCCTTTTTGGGCTTCTATAGGGTACCTCATTCCCCAATTCCCTACTAGCAGCAAGGGACCTATACATACCCTTTCAAGGGATTCTATAGGGTACCTCATTCCCCAATTCCCTAGCCAACAGCAAGGTTTACGGACAATGGGAGGCCGTCATCGGACCGGCCCCGGGTCCCTTCGTGACCCGGCATAGAGAAGTTCCCGTGGTTCACGCAGGACTGCAAGCTCAAGAGCCGCTGGACTCTGATAGGGTTTAGGGTTTAGGGTTTAGGGTTTAGGGTTTAGGGTTTAGGGTGTAGGGTTTAGGCACAACGAGGTGCCGCGTAGCCTTTTGAGGTTTTCATGGAGCTAGGTAGAATCTATAAGAACCGTTTTTTTCCAATTTTCAGTGATGGCGAAGCAAAGTCCAACTTAGGACGTCTCTCTTGAATCCGGCAGTGAGTTCCAACGTGTTGGATCTCTTGTGCAATTTTTCTTCCGCAGACTGGAGTGGGGGCATGTACCCCTCCTTCTTTCGCGAAAGGAGCTGGGGCCACTCGACAGTTCAGGCCAAGGGACTAAAAGGAGGAACCCTTCTAACGGATTTTAGGGGTTATTTAGGGGTTCTTTCGGGGCTACTTAGGCATATGGGGACTATCGAAGGCATATAGCCTCCTTATACCCCTGAATCAGGCCATTCTTCTGGCTCTCAAGTTGTGGCAGGACATGAAAGCCTGCTCCGCAGCTTGTCGTACATGGCGCGATGCCCTGAAGCCATTTGCAAACCTCAAGGACTTGTGCTACCGAGCCTTGCGCTTTCCAAGCGGTTCGAAGGTCAAGCTACCTTCTATACCAGAGGCCGTGGAAGCAGTTCTACCAAGTGCAGCAGCCTGGCGAAATAATCTGTCCTGGGCCAGGTTAAATCAGGCTGGGGGCACTGCTTGGCCCGCCCTTGTGTCTGAAATTAGCATCTCAAGTGAGTTGGTGGACGGGCAAGATGATTTCATGCAGGGGCCCGTCAGCACGCTCCTCAACACACACGCCCCTGTTTTCCTTCAAGTGGCCCGGGAAATCCTTTGTCACATGCCTTTGGCGTGGAGAACGAAGCCGATGACAATGTCTACGCACTCGACGGGTGAACGAGTGTTCGCGACGTGCGAATTGATGGAGTCAGAAGCTCAGTAGGCCCTTTGGGACATTTTCCATGTTCCCTTATTGGGTTTAAGAGGATCATACCTAAGCCCTAAGCCCTAAGCCCTAAACCCTAAACCCTAAACCCCAGGAATATTTTCAGAGGATTTTTTTCAGTGCCATCCTAGGAAGGGACCAGGAACCAGCAGTGCAGCGCCGTTTCGCGACGCGACGCGGGCGGCCTGCAACTGGTCTCCTTGGATGGCTCGAGACTTCTTCCACCCGAAGACAGCGCGCTGGGCCCTCTGAGGGCCAAAGGACTTCAGCTCAGGTGGGGAGTAGGGTTTGGGGTTTAGGGTTTAGGGTTTAGGGTTTAGGGTTTAGGGTTTAGGGTTTAGGGTTTAGGGTTTAGGGGTACCTTATGGGGGTTATTATAAGGGAATCCTACTAGGGTGGCTTCTTTTCCCCGATTTTCGTAGACCCCCAGGTCAATCTCAGAAGGCAACAGCTCCAGCTTTCGGGACATCATCGCTCCAGGCCAAAGATGTGAAACCTCGGTCTGCTCGAAATCGAAGGACTGCCCGCTTTGCAAGGATTACATCCACGGACTTCCGGGTGCTTCACAGCTCTCGCAGGCCTACGAGATGGAGTTCTTTCTGTCCCGCCCTAAACCTAAAAAACCCTAAATCCTAAACCCTAAACCCTAAGCCCTAAACCCTAAACCCTATTTCCAAAGCCCCCTCGCAGGTCTACAGGATGGAATTTTCTGTCCCGGGCTCGGAGGCGAGGATCTCCTTTCGCATTCGCTACGAGTTGCCGACCTTCTACGCCACGTCCGAAGATGCTGACCTTCTTCCCCAGTTGAGGGAGCTTCGGGTTTCGGATGTAGGGGTTTAGGGTTTGGGGTCTCGGGTTGCCCGGAAGCAGGTTTAGGGTTTGGAGTGTAGGGTGTACCCTACACCCTAAACCCTAAGCCCTAAACCCTAAACCCTAGACCCTAAACCCCTAGACTTTTTTTTCCAAATGAAGGAGCTGATCCCTTGGCCCCAGAACTTTCTGGACAACACCGACGATGAGGAGAGCGGCAGCCATATTTTGTTATTGTGCTCTGTAGTAGTCTTCTATCTTCACGTATTTGCGGAATATTGACTAAACATAAACATTTATTTAAATACAAATCTAAAAATAAGTTAAAATATACATAGAATACATACATATATACATGTTATACAATACTACCGTGTGCTGTTAAATTTCATGATACTGTATGATGTTATGTAACATTGCCGATGCCATATAATCAATATTGGATAATGTTGTATGAGATCAGTTAATACAAGATATTCCATAATGTTATTCAACATTCTTTAAGAATTCCAGAATGTTATTGAATATTATGTATTCGTACGAGTATTTTGTCATATCACCATGTAACATATAATATTGCATACACACACACATATATATATATATGTATGTATGTATGTATGTATGTATGTATGTATGTATGTATGTATGTATATTGTGCAATGGTCTGATTAGTTTTAGAATGTCCGATAGTACAATGTTACTATGGTTACGAGTGATCGATTATTGCAACCATTTGTCTTGCTGCCATTCCAGCCACCTTCGCAATGGTGAGGATGGAGAGGACGAGGACGACGAGGATGAGGATGGGGACGAGGATGCAGACTCGGATGCGGACCAGGATGAGGACGAGGATGACGCGGATGAGGATGACGACGAGGATGCAGAGGAGGTTGAGCTGCCGGACGAGCCACCAGAAGAACCACCTTCAAGACGTCGCCTCCTTGGGAAGCAAGCGCCGCCAGCTTGGTATCAGAGGTGAATGGGGTCTACTGCAGCTGTGGCAGGAGAGAAGGGGTTAGTTCTCTGGATGGCTGCGATTCTTTTGGACAAAAAGACTGCCCAGCTTTTTTGGTTTAGGGTTTAGGGTTTAGGGTTTAGGGTTTAGGGTTTAGGGTTTAGGGGATTAGGAATTCTTGACCTTGCTTGCGCTTCAGGTTGCTTGCGTTTCAGGCATCAGCAAGACGTGATCAGAAGCAGGCGGCTACCACGATATACTACAAACTAGTACGAAATTACAAGAAAGTTACGAATTTCTACTTATATATTTCTAATTCCTACTATAGTTACTACTGGTTACTACAAATAACCACAAGTTTCTACTTACTTCTACTAGTGAATTACTACTCATCATGATTGGCTACTACAAATTGCTACCTCCTAATACTCACGACATACTACTTTCCCGGTCACAACTACCAATTATCAGGAAGGACTCCGAATCACTACTAACTCGCAACAAATGACCACTACTGACTACAAATTGATACGAATATTTGCCCCCCCCCCCTATGTACTTCTTATTTACTACCAAGCTACAAACTACTACCCACCACGTGTGTGCTTGTGTCCGGGTCGTGCAATGATGATGAAAAAAGGCCTAGAAGCAGCAATACTGATGTTGGATAACAGTAAGAAACTGTCAGCAAGACTAGTAAATAAGTTCAGGGCTTAGGGTCTTTCGTGTGGCATATCATGAGTCGGCGGGGTAGAGGGTCGGGGTCGCAGGCAAACCGTATAAGCCCGGAGTCCTCCCCTAACCTCTGACCCTAAACCCTAAACCCTAAACCCTAAACCCTAAACCCTAAACCCTAAACCCTAAACACTGTAAATCAACCATGAACACCCATGACCCGAGTCCCTAAACCACCACAGCCCAGTGTTTAGGGTCTACACCAGGTGGTCCAAAGCCCTAAGCCCTCCCTCTCTGGGCCCAGCTCCGAAACACCTGAAAACCTGAACCATGCACCCTCCCCTCAAACCCCCCACCCCTGCAGAACTCCCACCCCCCCAAGAAAAGAAACGCCAAGCCCCAAGCCCAATCCTTGAAGGCTTCAAACCCTAAACCCTAAACCCTAAACCCTAAACCCTAAACCCTAAACCCTAAACCCTAAACCCTAAACCCTAAACCCTAAACCCTAAACCCTAAACCCTAAACCCTAAACCCTAAACCCTAAGCCTAGAATGAGAGGCTCAAGCATGTCCGCCTCCTGGGCCGTTGGGGAAGCTGGCCCAGATGAAGCCAGGAGATTGCAGGGTTTAGGGTTTAGGGTTTAGGGTTTCGGGTTTAGGGTTTAGGGGGGCTTGGGATTTAGGGCTCAAGACCGGTTTAAGGGTGTAGGATTTCGGAAGCCTTTAGTGGCTTGAGGGCTTCTAGCCATCTTAATCCGACCCGGACCCGCAGTCTTGAGGCATAAATGGTCCCCCCCCCAATAACCCCAAAACCGAACCCCCCCAACCACGCCCGCACCACAGGGGGGGGGGGGGGGGGGGCGCGGGGGTATTAAACCTTAAACCCTAACCCCCGAACCACCCACACCACAGGGGGGGCGCGGGGTTATTAAACCTGAAACCCTGAAGCCCCAACCACACCCACACCACAGGGGGGGACGCGGGGTATTAAACCTTAAACCCAAACCCCCGAACCACACCCACACCACAGGAGGGGCGCGGGGTTATTAAACCTTAAACCCTGAACCCACAACCACACCCACACCACAGGGGGCCTTAAACCCTAACCCCCCAACAGCACCCACACCGCAGGGGGAAGGGGGGGTGGGGGTAGGCATGGGGGTGGGGGGGAGGGGGGTGGGCGTGGCAGCCCTGGACCATATATGCCCGGGTTTTCGGGGACTTAGATCTCTGAGAACGCGAGCCCCCTTGCCACCTCAACCCGGAAGTCCCCGGCACCCTATAAGCCTATGAAGCCGGAGGGTTTAGGGTTTAGGGTTTAGGGTTTAGGGTTTAAGTCCCGAAAGCTCTTTTGCCCTGAGCCCTTGAAAACCGTAAGCAGACCAGAAGCCGACACCTGAAACCCTACATGAAGCCCCAATCCACTTTGCGCTTCACCCTAGACCCTCAAACCTGAAACACATGAAGGGTTTCGGGTTTAGGGTTTATAGGGTTTAGGGTTTAGGGTTTAGGGTTTAGGTTTATAGGCCCTAAGAAGCCCGAGAAAGTCCAAAGCCAGCTTGAAGACTGCCGGGAAGCTCTTTTGGGTTTAGGGTTTAGGGTTTAGGGTTCAGGGTTCAGGGTTTACGGTTTACGGTTTACGGTTTGGGTTTGGGAAGCTTAGGAAGTTCCGGGCCAGTTCTTTGTGGGCCTGTTAGGTCCAGGGTTTAGGTTTAGGAAGCTTAGGGTTTATGGTTTATGGGTTGTTGGGCCCTAAACCCCAAAACCCTAACTCTAAACCCTGAACCCCAAACCCTAAGCCTAAATTCGGGGGTTCCGCCAGGAAGCTTTCCAATGCCATCAAGACCTGCGCCAAGAGGCGTCTCTGGCAAGAGGCGCTCCGAAGTGATCCAACGGGGCATTGCACTTTCTAAAAGGGGTTTAGGGTTTGGGTTTTAGGGTTTAGGGCTAGGTTTGGGAGTAGGGCTTAGGACAGGTCCACAAGCCAACGTGCAGGAGCCAGTCAAAGACGTAAGGTTGTGCCTTTGAACCTGACGAATGCAGTATTTCCGGTTCAGGTGTTCAGTTCTTTCACAGTTTCTGGAGGCACTGCAGTTGCTACGCCAACTGGACGAGCAGGACCGATTCAGGTGAGGGGAAAGAGTGAGCTCTTGCATATCGTTGCTGCATGCTAGGATGCTCAGGTGGCGCCGTGCCATTTTGGGAGCTACGTAGGCTCACTAAACTCTGGAGCCTGTTGCATCCTAAACTTCCCGCAGAAGCCTAGAAATCTCATCTTATCCATACATCCAAGAACACTACGTGTCCAAACCCTCAACATTAAAAAAAAACAGACTAAACACTACAAGTAGGTCTTGCAAGCCCTCAAGCTCAAGAAGCCAAAAGACGTTTAGGGTTCCGGGTTTTAGGGTTTAGAGTTTAGAGTTTAGGGTGAACCTTAAACTCTACATCTAAACCCTAAACCCTAAACCCCAAACCCTAAACCCTAAACCCTAAACCCTATAGGGTTTGGGGGATAGGCCCGAAGAGAACGGAAGGACTGCGCCTCGGTGGTGGCCCAGACTGCGGCCATCAACGCTTGTCGAGGAAAGCCCTGGCGGCCTCCCGTCTTGTGCCAGATGGGGGTTTAGGGTTTGGGGTTTAGGGTTTGGGGTTTAGGGTTTAGGGTTGAGGGTTTAGGGTTTGACCCCTAATATCGACCCCCAAATAGTAGAACCCCCTTATAATCAGGGACCCCAATAAGGTACCCCGAATATCGTAAACTTTAGATTGGCCCCCCAGATTGGCTTGAGGTGTTTGGAATGTGTAGGGGGTTTGCCGCTTTGGGGCTTAGGCGTAGCCGCGGGTGTTTGGGGTTCAATAAATCCTAAACCCTAAACCCTAAACCCTAAACCCTAAACCCTAAACCCTAAACCCTAAACCCTATTATGGGTTGAGCAGTTTGGGGTTCAGGGAACTTGTTGGGTTGAGGGGTTTTGGGGTTTAGGGAAGTCGGGTTCAATTGCCTATGGGCTCTAGCTCTTGGCTTCGTTTGTAGGCTTTATGTGGCTTAGGCTTTGGAGCGCTGTTCCTGAACGACAGCTGCAACTGCAGGAAGTCAGGTTTTTCCGAACTCGGATTGCCTTGTAGGTTTAGAGTTTTGGGTTCTGGGTTTTGGGTTTTGGACCTCCCCCTGGGATTGGAAACCCTGGCTTGAAAAATGGGTGCCAAGACCCTGATGCTCGAAATCCGTGTCCCAAGCTCAAAGGACAGGTCAAGAAAGTGCCCCGCGATGGAGATCAACTACCCTAGTTTGGATGAAGGTTTCTACCAATTGCTTAAGAACCCCAAAAACACATTCTTCCTCATAAGGGCATTATAGGGGATTATTGTTTCTTAGTTTTTTGGGGGTTCTTGAGCAAATAGTAGGTTTGGGGTCTAGCGTGTCCTGCACCCTACGCCCGAAGCACTTTGCCCCTCACCTGCGCTCAACATGTTGTGTACTTGGCGAGGAGGGCGGGGCTGGAGCTTTCTGTCATCACGCCTCAATGTGCGCACGAGATACCCAAGCCCAAGACCCTAAACCTAAACCCGAACCCTCCAGGATCTCTTCAGTAGTTTTTGTCTTGACAGCTTGTGGTTTCCGAGAGTTCTTTCGCGTAGCCACGTTGAACCTTTCCGGTAGCCCGGTGGTACCCTTTTTACTTTTTGTGGTTCTGGGTTCCCTCATAAAGTAGCCAAACCAGCAAAAGGTGCCCTTGTTTTCATATTATAATATGTTTACTGGGCTCAAGTAGCTCTTTGGGGCTCCAGCTTGGGCTACCACCACCACCACCCTCCAAAAAAAATAAAGCTACGTTGGGCTTCGGAAAACGCTGAGGTACGCGGTACAACTGCTCGGCGCTCTTGCTGCAAAGCAGCTCGAGGCAGACGTGGTCGCCTATGGGGCCACGATTGGGGCCTGTGCCCAGGGCACAGGACGCTGGATGCCTGCGCTTTTGGGCTTTGCGTATTCGAAGCTTTCAGCCAGAAGCCAAAGAAGCCGCAAATCCGAAGCTCCACCGCTTTCATGCCGACCGAACCTTGCATTCTCTCCATTCTCAAGCGCGCTCGGAAAAGTGTTTCAGTCTTGGTTCCCCTACCCCCCCCCCCCCCCCGGGGACAACCCTACACGCAGGATGGCAGACGTCGCGGGCGCTGTTGACAGAGTTGGCCCGCCGCGGGCTGCCCAGGAATCGAGGGCTTGCCTGAGAACTGGTTTCGGCCCTAAACGCTGAGCCCTCAAAAGGGTGTTGGGATGTCCACGGGCTTTTGACCTAAACGCAGCTGTTACGGGGGTTTAGGGGCTTGGGTTGAGGGTCAAGGGGTTGATAGCAAATCTTGGTGGTGCCCTGGATTTTAAAGCGGGGGCCGTGTTGAGACAAAAAGGGGCCATCACTTGTCCAGAGGTTCTTCTAAAATGCCCCATCGCATCCTTATTCCATTCCTCAAGAACTTTGTGAATCAATTGGGCACCCGCTGGTCTCCTCTATCACTGAGCGGCCTGGTCCTTTCAGCACAGTTGGAAGAGCACCAATCACCCGAAGTTTTAACACCTTCAACCCCTAAACCCTACACCCTACACCCTAAACCCTAAACCCTAAACCCTAAACCCTAGGGTTGCGAGTTTAGAGGCATAGGGTTTAGAGTTTAGAGCATCGCCAGGAATTCGATCGTCTTCACCTCGGTCGCTTGGTCCAACCAGAAACAATAACCCTAAACCCTAAACCCTAAACCCTAAATCCTATACATGGGAGCTCCAAAAGGGGCGCTCAGCTGTGACGCTGTCTCGATGGTCATTTCTCTATACTATATCTTAGGGTTTTAGGCAAAGTTTTAGGGGTCTAGGTTTTAGGGTTTAGGGTAGCTAAATCATGGCCCTTTTTTGAGATTAAGTACAAAGTTGCTACTACAAGGCGGCCCCTGATTTCTACGGGCACCCACAAAAACGACCACAACTTTTGAGAGCAAACCCCTAAACCCTAAACCCTAAACCCTAAACCCTAAACCCTAAACCCTAAACCCTAAACCCTAAACTTTTCTGGTGGTCTGGGCCCCGGGGGCTTAGGTCATCAGCGCTTCTGGGAAGGCTGGGGCCTGGCAGTTGGCTCTACAGTGCATAGAGGCGCGGGGAGTTGCAGCTCTTTTTTTGGGATGTTCTTCCTTCTACTAGCAATCCTTTGTGGTGCTTTACTGTAACTTTAGATCCCTAGCCTTTTGGGGTTTATAGGGTTTTCTGAATAAGGCAGCTAGAAAAATTAGATTTTTAGCTACCCTGCTAAGTGCAGCCGAGAATCCTTCATAGGGATCACAATGGGGGGGGGGGGGGGGGGGCACTAGAATCCCGATGAAGGACTGTTAGTTTTAGCGGGAACATCCCAATTCTTATACCTTGAAATCCTCGAGTCGAAGAGGCCTCTGCTTGAAGGTTCATGGGTACTTAGAAGTAGGGGCAGTTCAGCTGTAAGTATAGGGTAGCTATGGTTAGAAAGGGGAAGAAGTACTGACTGTGAACCTTGAAGTAAGATTTGGGTTCTTGGAGAGTCTGGGTTCATGTCGGGCATGATTCAAGTTACAGAGTTGGGAGGAGCTGGAAAAGGAGCTTACGCCCACCAGCGTGATCCCGTACAACGCGGCTGCAAGCGCCTGCGCCAAGGGGAGAGCGTGGAAGGCTGCACTCGCGATTTTCAAGGGCATCAAGGACAGGAGCCTCCTTGCGGATGAGACATCATACAGCACCTGTGGCGCGCAGTATGGCCGATTGCTTTGCAGGGACGTGTAGTTGCGTGTCAGTTGCCAGTGTTTGTACCCTACTTGTAATTCAGAGGATGCGGCTCCGTATTCTCAGGGGAACGCAGAAAGGCACCCTAACTTAGAGAAGACGGCTCCACATAATTGTGGGAACCCAACAAGGTTCAAGGCTTAGGGACCGAAAACCGTATTATGTATATATATATATGTGTGTATAGATACATAGATATATATATATATATATGTATATAACCCTAGACACCCTAAACCAACAAGGGACCCTAATTTTTGGGGAACTCCAGGTACAGCCATCGATGCTTGCGCGAAAGCCTCGGAATGGCAAAGGGCGCTTGCTTTCCTCTTGGAGTCGACGCATGCGCAAGCACCTGGGGTGCGCAGTGCCCAGTAGCACCTTTATTCCCGTTTTGTGTTCCCTCTCTCTCCCTCTCTCTCTATTTTTGAAATGCCGTAAGCCCTAGAAACCCTCAACCCGCATGAGTCCAAATAAGGGCCCGATTCTTGTGAGAGGAGGTTGGGCAACCTAGGTACACAATCTGATCGCGTACAATGCCGCAGTCAGCGCCTGCGACCGAGTCTTGACTTGAAATCGGAGTCGGGTCTTGCGTGCTTCTTGTCGCGTTCTTTAGATGTAAAAAAAACTGCTAGAGTCCGCGCCTAAGGGAGTAGTAGCATCCCTGTACAGGCGACCCCTGAAACGGGCGCTTGCCTCTCCAGCTCCTTCTCGTACATGGCGACACCACAGCACCCCAAATCCCAGAAATGAACCCTGTAAGAACGCCTATAAACCCACCCCCTCCCCCCTCCCAGAAACTCCACTGACCCAAAACCCTCCCGAAAGTTCTTCCGTGTGATTTACCACCCTGAAATGTCGGCCCTTGGTTTCCCAGGATTGGCAACTTACCCTAAACCTGGGCTTTGGGGTTTTAGGGTTTACGGTTTTGGGGTTTTGGGTTGTTTTGGGTTTTTGGGTATTTGGGTTTTGGGTTCAGGGTTTACCGGGCACCAGACCTACAAATCGCAGTGGCCAAGTACGTCACTTCTGCTTTAATCTTATTATCGCCGGTGAATGGTTGGGTTTGCTTCCTATATCAGATCAAAGAGGCCAACCTAGTGAAACCCCAGACACTGATTTCGGGGTTTCGCGTTTAGGGAATATAGGTTGGGATGTTCCCCCTTTTACTAACGTCCTTCATAGGGACTCGTGTACCCCCTATTGTAATCCCCTACTAAGGGCTGTTTGTATCTAAACCCTGAACCCTGAACCCTGAACCCTGAACCCTGAACCCTGAACCCTAAACCCTAAACCCTAAACCCTAAACCCTGAGCCCTGAACCCTAAACCCTAAACCCTAAGGGGAACATCCCAAAATATCGGGGGCCGGGTTTAGGATAGTCGACGAGGAGCAGAGAAGTGGCAGCTGGCGATTTGGCTCCTACACGACCTGGACTCCTTTCGCCTGGCAGGCGGGGCGCAGCGAAAGCCTTAGGGTTTAGGGTTTAGGGTTTAGGGTTTAGGGTTTAGGGTTTAGGGTTTAGGGTTTAGGGTTTAGGGTTCAGGTTTGTGAGGGCGTGGTCATTAGCTATCATAGCCCCCTAAAGCCGAAAGCTATGGGAAACTGGAGGTTTAGGGGTTTTAGGGCTTTTAGGGCTTTTAGGGCTTTTAGGGCTTTTGGGTTTAGGACCTATAGGGTTTAGGGTGAGGTGACATCATCACCTACAACTCCTCTCTCAGCGCCTGTGCTCGTGGGGCTGCCTGGGAAGCGGCGCTGGCCCTTTGCGCGTCGATGCCGACGAGGCAGTTGCGACAGGACCTGGAGGGGATGAAGGCATGAACCTTCTAACCCGAACCCTAAGCCCTAAGCCCTAAACCCTAAACCCTAAACCCTAAACCCTGAACCCTATGAGGAGGGATGGCAGGTATTCAGGGCTCTGAGGGTGAGGATTCCTCAGCCTGCAGTTCCCGGATCCCATGTGAACCCTATAACCCCCTAAGTCCCAAACCCTCGGCCTGAAGCCGTCAGCCGCTAAAGCCCTAAACTAGCCCCTAAACCCTACAGACCTTCGAACGTAAACTAGGTAGGCCCTTGGGATACTGCAAATTCTCCCTTATCGATGGGTTTGAAGGAGGATCAGACTTAGGAATCTTAGGGTTTCAAGGCACCCCCCCCCCCCCCTCGATCCTAAAGTCATAGACCAGAGAGGAGCTGCACGCCGGTAGTCGGGCTTCATTGCCTTGAGGCCTTTTAGGGTTTTTTTGTTCGGCCTTTTTGTGTTTTGCTCTGACTTTTTGTTGTGCTTTGGTGTGCCTTCTTTGTGCCATTTTGGGGCCTTTTCTTGTGCATTTCGTGTGTTTTTGCTGTGCCTTTTTTGGGCCTTTTGGTGGGCCCTTTGGTGGGCCTTTTGGGGGCTTGGGGCTTCCTGGGAGTCAGGCCCGAAGTTACCCTAAAACACAAACGAACAGTCCTTAGTAAGAGTTGTAGTAGCCCTCTTGTAGAATCCCATTTAAGGGCTGTTCTTGTCCTTCGTAAGGAGTATATCATAATCCCTATCAAGGGCTGTTCTTTCAGGGGGAACATCCCAACCCTGTTCTGGTTTTGGGTTGTAAGGCTTTGGGCAAGCTAACCCTGCCAGACACATGTCCTGGAAGCCCCAAAGTATCTTGAACAGCTTTTCGCCCTGAGCGCTGGATTCTAAACCCCAGACCCTAAACCCTGTACACCCTTCAAACCCTTTACTTTCATATACACCCTTTACACCCTTTACATCATTCAGACCCTTCAAGCCCTGTAACCCTTAAAACCCTTTAAACCCTTTACTTTCATATACACCCTTTACACCCTTTACACCATTTTCAAACCTTCTACGCCCTTTTAAACCCTGTAAACCCTAAACATGAACCCGAGGATGCTGTGACCCGAAGCACAGCTGTCAGCGCTGTCGCGCGAGCTGGGAGGTGGGAGCGAGTGGTGCAGCTGCTTCGCAGATCGGTAGCTTCGGCGCACCTTAGAAGCCCTAAGGGTCCATATACCTATATAGTACATACTTGGGCCCTAAAGCATATATATGGGAACCACTTAAGGCCCAAGTATATACTATATGGGTACATGGACCCTTAGGAAAGGTTTGAAGCTTCTTCCCCTAGAATTGCTTTAGGGTGTAGGGTTTGGGTGACCTTACAGTACAAGGTTGAAGATAGGGCGGCCAGGAAACCCTAACAGAACCTTGCTTCCTTCCTTCCTTCCTCCCTCCCTTCCTTCCTTCCCTCCCTCCTTCCATGTGCTTCAGGCTGTCGAGCAGTCCCGTGCTAGCCAAGAAGGGGTGTATTGACAGTATTACTGGTAGCCGAAAGCGAAGGTAAGCTCTAGCAGTTACGTTGAGGGGAGGCCACCCAAAAAAACCTAAAGTCCCAGTAGCCTGAATCACACGAAGACACCCTAAACCCTAAACACCCCAAACACCACAAGCACCCTACACCCTACATCCTAAACTCTAAACCCTAAACCCTGAACCCTGAACCCTAAATGCTTAACCCTAAACCCTAAACCCTAAACCCTAAACCCTCAACCCTAAACCCTAAACCCTAAACCCTAAACCCTAAACCCTAAACCCTAAACCCTAAACCCTAAACCCTAAACCCTAAACCCTAAACCCTAAACCCTAAACCCCAACCTAAGTAGCAAGAATTGGCCAGCAGTTGTAAGGCATCCGCCGACCTCGTCGCCTACAACAGCGCCCTTACGGCTCTGAGGAGCTGGAGGCGCCTCAGAGTGGGTTCTCAGGGTTTAGGGTTTAGGGTTTAGGGTTTAGGGTTTAGGGTTTAGGGTTTAGGGTTTAGGGTGTTTCGGGTTTAGGGCTTGGGATTAGGGTTTAGGGTTGAGGGTTGAGTGTTTAGGTCTCAGGCTGCACGCTAGACCTCACAAGCTCCGAAGCCAATTAACAGAACTACTGGCTGCGGCCACCAGGATCGCTGCTGATCTTCTGGATCACCTCGGGAGGCGTCTCCGGATGGATGCTTGGCTGACAGCCCCTGGAGTTTTAGGGTTTAGGGCTTAGGGTTTAGATGGTTTAGGGTTTAGGGTTCAGGGTTTACCGTTGAGGCTTTCGGGTTTGCCGATAGCTTAACTTTTGGGTCACCGGCTGCAACTTTTGGGCTTGGCTTACGGGTCTTGCGGGGATCTTTGCGCTGAGAGTCGAGGGCTTTCGGAGGTTTAATAGGTTAGTCTGTCTATGCACTCGGGCTTGCAGGGACTAGCTGAAGCTCCTCCAGATTAGGAGTCCCGAGCACTAGAGGTTTAGGCTGGACCTGAAAATCGTGGCTTAAGGCTAGACCCCGATTCCTAAATCCCTGAAGTGCAAAGAGCCCACGATCCCAAAGCCAGATCTGAGAGGATGCCATCACCTGCAGCGCCGGGTTGTTGCTTGGCATTGGCTAGCGGTTTAGGGTTTGAGTTCGAAGCCTTTAGGGGTTTAGGGTTTCGGGTCGTGTGTCGGTTTGAGGGTTTGAGGGTCTAGGGTTGCGCGTTTAGGATTTAATTAGGGCTTCGGGTCCGGGAGTCAGGTTTTGGCGGCTTTCTGAACCTGCAGTGGATGCCTGGAGAAACGGATGCTACCATCCAGGCGCTTCGTGTTCAGCAACCCTCTTCCTCAGCCAAGAGTTACCCTAAACCCTAAACCCTAAACCCTAAACCGTAAACCCTAAACCCTAAACCCTAAACCCTAAACCCTAAACCCTAAACCCTAAACGTCCCTAATCCCTAAACTTGTTTTGTGTCCCTTTGCAAGGCGCTCTATAGGGTTGGGAGCCCTATGCCGGAAGGCTCAGGCAACCTTGATAGGTCTTAAAGTAGGGTTTATAAGGGTTTAGGGTCCGAACCCCTTGTGGGGGTGGAAGTTTAGCCCCAGGAGCGCATGCGAGAGAGGTTCCGCGTGGGTGGACGCCCTGGCTCTGTTTCTTGGCTGGCTGCTTTTAGGACTTGGGGTGCAGGGTCTAGGGTTTAGGGTTTAGGGTTAGGGTTGAGGGTTGTAGGGCTCAGGGCTAAGGACTCTGACTGAGGCACGCGAAGAATGATGGGAGGCACAATGACAACCTGTCACCCCCCACAACCCTGAACCGGACTGCTTCTGTGCATGGAGGTCTATATCCCCCTTGGGAATTACTTTTTTACTTTTCTTTATATAAAACCCAAGAGGATATTAAACATATTTATTCTGATTAAGGTTCTAAGGGGAGTGTAGAGGTAGGGAGGTCTTACGATGGGGTCTTCAAGCTCCATCCCCCCTCTAAGCCCTAAACCCGACACAGATCCACCCTGAAGCGTGCCGAGAAAAGGGTCCCTCGTAGGTTAAGGGTGCTTAGGGTTTACAGGTTGGGATTTACAAGGATTAGGGGTTCGCCCTCACAAGCCTGCAGAGAAGACCATAATCCACAAAATCCCAAACTCTGAGCCCCAAAACCCCCAAATGAGGCCCGGTAGCCGGGCTTTGGATGCCCCCCAGATTTCTGTTTCATGCGAACTGAAGTTGCAAGGCAAAACAGAGGCGTTTGAGCTTGTCGTTCAAAATGTTTCACTCAAAACATTTTTCGGTTGTAACCTTTGGGAGCCCAACCCGTTACAATCTCTGCAACCCCAATATTCCCCCCCCCCCCCCCCCCCCCCCCCCCCAAAAAAAAAAAAAAAAAGGACCACAAGTTCGGCACGAATAGCCCAAAACCAAACCTAAACTCAATGCCCAGTACTGAGGATCTGCGCACAGGCACGGCAGAAGGCGTGGTTTCGGATCGAGTGTCCACATAGTCGGATCTTCAATCTGATCCTGGTTCACAATCTTCTTATTAAGTTTCCGCCAGACAAGTAAGACCGTTGAGGTGTACCGAAAGAGGCTTGTACTCCTCTCTTGTGCCGCCTAGCTTCCAGGGTACAGTATCCGAACCCTTGGCAAGGAGCCACGGAAAAGAAAGGGAAGCGTCGGGGCTCAGGTCTTTGCAACAGACATTTCTGGAAGCGAATGGCTTCCCAAGCCTTGACTCGTGGCCCTTGGAACCCCACGCAAAAAACACAACGGGATGCTGGGGCCGGCTAGTGTTGAGCCAATTGCATGGCTGTTAGTCAGTCGGTGTAAAGCTGTTGAAGCCACTTTGGGTTGCAACATGAAGTCGTCAGCACCACCTTCAGACACAACAATGCCACGATGTACTGGGGGCCCGGCAATCAGATAGTCCTCTACCCTACCCCCCTCAAAGAATGCAAGGAACCCAATATTCGAGTACGTGGAAGGGGGTAACTTACGCAAGTCGCTATTGGGGCTATCGAATCCAAATAGACCATCCCCAAAACACATAGGTTCAGTTGCGGTTGATAGGGATTGAACCCGTCCATTTGCACTTTTTACAATTGCATTCATGGGCAGCACATTAGGCGTCCTGAAGAAAAGCTTTAGAGATAAGCTGCAAACCCCAAACCGCAAACACCAAACCCTAAACCCTAAACCCTAAAGCCCAAACCTAAACCCTAAACCCTATACCCTGAACCCTAAACCCAACCTACCGTACTAAATTCACGGTCGCACGCCGCTTTTTGAGTGGAACCCAAGCGAAACATAGGAATCAGAATGTGTTTAACTGCCGGGATTCCTACAGCATGTCCACACTCTGCCGGGATTCCTTGTGTGCGTTTAGGGTGTAGGGCAGGGTGCACCACCCTTAACCTGATAAATCCCAAACCCTCAAATTTCAAAACTCCCTCGGACTAGGCGGCCTTATGATGAGTTCGACTACCTCCGGCCTTGAAATTGGGTAGGTCCCGAAGTTAGTCTCTCTTTTGGGGGGCAAAAACGGAAGCCAGTTTAGAGCATTACCTGCGTGAAAAAGTGGCATCAGGCGCAGAGCAGTGTTCCAGCTCATACAGCTGCGCCCCCAGGCTGCAGAGAAGCAAGTGTTTAGGGTTTAGGGGTTAAGGTTTAGGGTTTAGGGTTTAGGGTTTAGGGTTTAGGGTTTAGGGTTTAGGGTTTAGGGTTTAGGGTTTAGGGTGCCCAACACTTTGGGATTCATGTGATATGGGTAGTTCTCTCTCTGAATTAGGCCCGAATTTTTTTGGGGTCCTGCATACAGGTACGGCACTCTTGCCATAAGGACCCAAAGAGGGACCCTAGATTAGAGAACTACCCTAAACCCTAAACCCTAAACCCTAAACCCTAAACCCTATTTTGTCATATTCACAAGAAGGCCTGAAGTGTACAAATTGCGGCTTCGTTGGACAGCATGATTGCGCCTGCCTTAAGCCCGAAAGCCTAAACCCCTAGCCCCCAATCCTAAAAGCCCTGCATCGGACCTGCAAGTGCGAATCTCCAAACCCCAAGCCCTGAACCCAAACCCTGAACCCTAAGCCTAAACCCTACTCTTTGAGCCCTAAACCCTGCACCCTAAACCCTAATCTCTGAACCCTAAACCCTGAACCCTAAACCCTGAACCCTAAACCCTAAACCCTGAACCCTAAACCCAAAACGCCCAACCGCCCAGCAAGCACTGCGCACTCCAGTCTCGGCGCTGTGGGGCGCATGAGACGCTGGCAGCGGGCCATCCTCCTGCGCCTTGGGCCGACAGGGGGGGGCGGGGGGTGTTAGGGTTTAGGGTTTAGGGTCTAGGGTTTCGGGTTTAGGGTTTAGGGTTTAGGTGGTTTCGGGTACCCTTTTTGGGGGGTCCCTTTAAGGGGATTCCAATGTGGGGGGGGGGGGTTACCAATTTGGTTCAGGGGGCTCTGGGTTTGGGGTTAAGGGCGGATCAGTCTGAGAAAAGCCTCCGTTGAATAGAATCGCTTAGCCTAACCCCTGACGAAATACATCTTTGGTTCACCCCCAAAGCCAATAAAGCTCTAAGCCCTGTAGGGTTCTACAAAGCCCCACAGCCGAAACGGGTTTCAGGGTAAACCCTAAACCCGAAACCCCTAATTCGAGAAGATCAGGGTTTAGGGTTTAGTGGTTTGGGTTTAGGGCACAAGGGTTAGGCAGTGACTCAGCCCTGGGGATGCTTGTAGAGGTGAGCCCGGGACACTGGGATTTTTGAAGCCAATCTAGCAACCCGAAGGCACGAGAAGAAAGAAAATCAACCACCGCACTATCTATGGCCTTCCTAAACGCTAAACCCTAAACCCTAAACCCGAAACCCGAAACCCTAAACCCTAAACCCTAAACCCTAAAGAAGCACAGCTCTTGAGGTGCTTTGAGATACGTATTGTTCTCGGCCCGAAGCCCGAAACCCTAAACCCCCCAAAGCACGGACAAGGGACTGTTTGGGTCGACAGACTTCGTCTCTGGGCGTCCTAAACCGTCAGCCCTGAAACCCTGAATCCCTAAGACCCTGGACCCGAACTCCCTGAACACGGACCTAAAACCTTTAGGGTTTTAACCCCTTGCAAGGCTCTCGGATCTTGGAGTACTTGGTCTGCAAAGTGACTCTCTTGCCGAAGGCCCATGTGAACCGAGCCTGAAGATGTTGGAGAGTTCGGGGCTGGCAAACCAGGGGCTACCGGAGCTTAGAGATTGCGAACCCTAAACCCTACATCCGAAGCCCGCAACCCCCAAACCCTCCCCAAACCCTTTCAGTCCTCTTAAACGGGACCTTGTTAAGAGGTGTATGCTTTTCAGGGGGTCCCCGTACTCCTACTCTAGGACAGGAGATAGGACTGCGTGCCTAGGGCTCTGCGCCGAGAGTCTTCTACTCCCAACCCACCATCTGGAGGTGCAGTACTCCTGGCGTGCGCGGAGGCAGATGAGCGGCCAGGCTGTATACGATTGACCCAGGAGGGCGGCGGCCAAGAGTTTAGGAACTTGGGGGGGGTGCAGCTGCAGAATATCAGGTTGAGGATTCTCAGGTTCAGGTGCAGGAGGTCGGACCTCTCGGTACTGTAATGACTCGACTTAGCCTAACTTGCTTGCTGCAGGCGGTTTTTTGCTCCAAAAAACCCAAGGAGTGGGGGCAACTGGCGCAACGGGCCCATCCCCCAAAAAAGAAAATGTTTTCTGCCAAGCGGAAGCGTAGCCGGTTATGGGTCCAGTGGCCCTGCTCTAGGTACAAATAGTTTTCCCTTATGGTCCCCTCATGACTAGGCTATAGTAACCCCAAAACCCTATTCTAATTATTAAGCCCCCTATATTACGTGTTGGGCGGGTGGACTAGGGCAGCGGATGACCCACAGAGCCTAATACCACTTAATTAAGGAAGATGCTACAATGCCCGAAGGTGGGAGCAGGTGCTTTGGCTGCTGGCGGATTCACAGGCGGAGTGGGACCCTGCTCAGGAGGGTTCTAGGTTTCGGGGGTTGCCAAGGGGGGGATAGTACCTGTCTTTTCGCTTGTTGCTTGTAATCTCCACGAAGGCAGCTTTGTTCGGGCAATCGATGAGGCTTTATTTCAGGCGTCGAGTCTCCAGGAATTCCTTTCGAGAGGAGGCTCAAGGCTACTCGGAGTCGCTGAGGCCTCTGCAGCACTGCTGCACCCAACCCCAGAACGTGTGAGTGGGCGCCAGGCAAGACGGGTACAACACCACCTGCGATCATACAACACGGCCCTCAGCACCTTGACTGTCTTCGCCTGAATCCACGGGACAACCAGTCCTAATCTTAACACGCGTCCGGTCTTCCAGTTCGTAAACATAAACTAAGCCAAGAATCCCAACGTCTCTCAGCGTCTTGCCGGAAAGCCACCGCACTTGCCAGGGCAGCAATACCCAGATTTTGCGCATGTCACCCCTTGTTTGCTTCAACCCTAAATTCATTAAATGCCCCCCAAACCTTAAACCCTAAACCCTGAACCCTTAAACCCTAAACCTTAAACCCTAAACAGATTTTCAGGGTGCCCTAACTCTCCCGAGTCGGGCGTGCATGAACCATAGAGCCGCAAAGCCTGAAGCCAGGGTTTGGGGGTTTAGGGTTTAGGGTTTGGGGTTTAGGGTTTAGGGTTTAGGGCTTGACCACGCAGAGGGTTCGTAGGGCCCCTACAGGGTTTGAAGTTTACAGAGTTCAGGTTTTGGTTTTTCTAGGGCCAGGGTGGAAAGTTGAAAGTTCTTCATCGTAGGCGAGGGGGGGGGGGTCAATATTAGGAGAGAACTTGCTGTGGATTTTCCGACTGCCAAAAACTCCGAACACTGGGCTGAGGGTATATAAGTTTAAAACCTGCTAAGCCCTAAACCCTATTTTTGGCTGAGGGTTGAAGAACCCAAGCCACCACCTCCGTGGACCTATTTCCCGCAACCCAAAACTGAAAACCCGAAAACCTCATACTAAAGCCCTGGAACCCCTCAAACCCTAAGTTTCAAGCCCCCACATGCGGAGCCCCAACTTCCCTAAACCCTAAAGCCTAAACCCTAAACCCCTAAACCCTACACCCTCAACCCTAAATCCTACCACACGCCCGCCGAGGTGCTTGCGCCAGAGCCAGTGAGTGGGAGCTGGCAGCGCAGCTCTTTGTTGACGTGCGACGACGCAGTGGCCAGTCTGAAGAGTTGTTGGGTTTAACCCTACGCCGCAAAGGGTTTTATGGTTTGGGTTTGGGGTTTAGGGGGGCTATGAATAGGTTTTGGGGTTTGTGGGGGGGGGGGGGGGGGGGGGGGGCATGTCAGGCGAACGTGCTAAGGCTGTGGAGGGCTGAATAAGGTTTGTGGCATTTCTTTGGTGTGTCTTTTGGGGGTTTTAGGCGGGTCATTTTAGGTCTTCAGGGTTTCAGGGTTTCAGGATTTCAGGGATTTTTAGGGTCATTTTAGGTCTTCAGGGTTTCAGGGTTGCAGGATTTCCGGGGTCTTAGGGGTCTCGTCTAGGCTTGCTGGCAGGCCTGGGTTCAGATCTCGTCACTTACGGCGCTGTCATGGCTGCCTATGAGCCTGGGCTTGCATAGGAAGGCTGGTAGGTGTGAGTTTGGAGATTTAGGGTTTAGGGTTTAGGGGTTTAGGGTTTGGGGTTTAGGGTTTAGGGTTTAGGGTTTAGGGTTTGGGGTCGCTTGGATCCCTTATTCGCCTTTGTTTTGAGTCGCTTCGCAGCCCCTTCGAACAAAAATAGTTGCAGTTACTTCAAGTAGCTGCTGCCAGAGAACGCCTGAGGATCCAAAGCACGCTGGGAGCAAGCCTATAATCCTTACAAACCCTACCTACCAATATATCTTCTTCTCGTAGGGTATGTTCAGGCTCCAGTTAGTTGCGCAGCGCCCTTGAACTTGCCACTACTGAAGTTGCGGCATACGGTAGGAGCAGATTTGTTTGAGAACTACAGCCCTATAACCCCCCCCCCCCCCCCCCAAAAAACAAAAAAAAAAACCTTTAAAGTCCTTAATGCCCTAAGCCTTGGTAAGCCCCGTAAACCCGAACCCCTGTGGAGGCTCTATGTACCCGAAACCTCGGGGATCAACTTCCCCGCACCCTAGCATGGGGTCGATGCGAGCTCCTAGCGAATCTAGGGTTTAGGGTTTAGGGTTTAGGGTTTAGGGTTTAGGGTTTAGGGTTTAGGTCTGCGCTAGAGTGGGCCTCATTGCTTGGAAGATGTGGGAGTGTGTGAATGTGGGGAACCTTTGCTTTTCCCGTGTTTGTGAGATCTCTTCGCGGGTTCCCCAACGCCGTTTTTCCACAGGAGACTCTGTAGTGGGGCGCACGACGCGCGTGGAGGGTTCCCGCTAAGCCCCCAATGGAAGAAAGAAGAAAAGGGAGACGGAGAGGCGGGGAGGCACAGACAGAGTGAGAGAGAGAGAGAGAGATGTGCATACACACAAACAGCATATGATAGATAAACAGATAGGACGGTAGTTTCGTGTTGTCCCAGCATTCAGGAGAGGAGCCACCAGTGGCCTGACGCACTGGAGCTGCTGCAGATGCTGACGCTCAGCCGGAAGGTGCCAGATACCATCGCAATCACCACCGCCCCGCTCTCAGTGTCTGACCCTGAGCCCTTAAACCCTGAACCCCCCAAGGCATTCAATCCTGTTGCGGCAAGGGCTCGCGCACTTACTTGAAGTGTAGCTTCAACAGGTTTTGGAGAATAGGCCTAGGGTCCTTTCCTCCTCAGCAGCCTATTGGGGTCAGGTTTGTTTTGGTTTAGGGCTCTGTCTCTTGTTGGCCCGAATCCTCATGGCAGTCAACCGCTACTGTCAGGGGGATGGAGCAACCTAATGCTTTTGTGGCAGTTCTCGGGGATACAAGCCATGTAGCCCATGAGTCAAAGAATGCCGTTTCTGGAGCGTGCCTGCACATCAGAAGCAACTCCCTAAAAAACCACAACCCCAATCCCCAAAAACCGAAGTCTGTCCACGGACTGGATCAGAGCGACTCGTGGGTGTGAAACTTCGTTGACCAAATTCGACCTCGCAGGGTGCAGATTTCACAGGGGCATTGTGCCTCTCTCCCCCCCGCCAGCCCAGACCAACCGAACAAGTCTGCCGCAAAGGCCATCAGTGCTTGTGCGAAAGCAGAGCATTGGCAGTCGCGAGCCTGCAAGAGGATCCAACACCCGGGAGTTCAAAGCTTAGCGCGTAAAGCGCTGGGCTTCGCATGAATCCTAGTATCACCTTCGAGTCATGCGGGTCATGCCGTAGATACCGCAACGGTTGCTAAAGGCATTTAAAGGCAGAGTAAACGACTTCTTCTACCCCGAGCCAGAAATTCCCGGACCGAAGCACGCAGGCCCATAAATCAAGAACCCTGAAGCCCGAAAGCCATGTAGTTAAGGTTTGGGCTCTGTGTACAGGTTTAGGGTCTAAAAGTTTATAGGGTATAGAGGTGAGCAGCCCCAGAATGAAAGCACCCTAAACTCCGCAAGAACACCAAAAACTTCAAATCCAATCCTAAATCCAAAGTTCTCTGTAAGAACAATGACAGCCCTAGGGACCCCCAGCTGAAACCCTCCAAACCCGAAGAAGTTTGATAGACAAAGGCGTTCAGGAACCTGATAAGAACTGTAGAGTCCCCAAGGGCCCTGAGAGCAAACTTATACTCCACGTGGTCAGTTCTCTAAAGTAGGATTGAGGGGCTCCTGTGTTCTGTTTGAATTCGGGCCCTATCTTCAGGGTACTTCAGAAAGGGACCATAACTTGGAGTACTGGTCAGAAACAAAGCCTTACAACCAAACTGGACCTAAACCCTAAACCCGATTGCCCGGGCCCTAAACCTTATAAGCCCTAAACCCTTAACCCCAACCCTCACATCCTAACCCCTAAGCCCTAAGTAGGCCTCAAAAAGCTGAGGCAGGCGCTGGCCTTGCTGGTAGCCAATGACGGGGCTCCCCGGCGGCCCTCTTTGGTTCGGGTTTCGGGGTTTGGGCCCGAAACCCGAAACCCTAAACCGAAAAGGACCTGAGCCCCTGAATACCCTAAACCCTAAACCCTAAACCCTAAACCCTAAACCCTAAACCCTCCTTCCCTAGCTGCCTGCGCCCCGCACATTCGATCGTAACACCCTGGGACAAGCGTAGTTTCCGCTTGGTTTGCTTACTGCCTGTGTTGTAGGGGAAGAATGGACTACCCAAAGAAGCAACTACATATGGCCTGTGTGGTAGACCTCATAAGATCTAGCTGGTGCCTTGTTTCTGGCAAGCACTCTTTTCATTGATACCAAATCTCCTGAGAGAAATTTCCACCAACCCCCCCCCCCCCCCCGCACAACAGCCACCAGGAACTGCGATTGAAGGTCTGGGTAGGATTCAGGGTTGAAGGGGATCTAGGGGGGTCAGCGCGATTTTGGGGTTCAGCTTGCGCTTTTAGGGTTTAGGGTTTAGGGTTTAGGGTTTAGGGTTTAGGGTTTTAGGGTTTAGGGTTTAGGGTTTAGGGTTCAGGGTTCAGGGTTCAGGGTTCAGGGTTCAGGGTTTTGATGGCAACCTTCTACAAGCCCTGTATAAGCTGAAAGGTGGACACCTCGGCCGTCCACGCTGGGATCAATGCCTGCGCGGCCGCCGGACAGTGGCTTGCTGCTCTTAGCCTCCTACAGGAGACCATGGGGGGCGCCTCAGGTTCGATGAAACTCTGCGCATTTTTCGTGGGGGCTGAGGGTTTTGTAGGGTTCTTTTGGGGCTATTCAAGGGTATTGGGGTGTAGGGATGGTTTCTTTTGAGGTGCCGGCGTGTTGTTACTTCCTCCCACCCTCGTGAGCGATGGGTCACGCTAGTTCTTGCGAGCCTCTTCAAGCAGCCCCAAACCTCGATCTAATTGACTCACCGAAAGGAGACAAAGTCCCGGCGCACGCAGATGGACATCGTCGCTTTCAACTGTGTTGCTGCGCCATTCGTTTTTTTGGGTTTTTTTTAGGGTTTAGGGTTCTCGGGTTTAGGCCCAGATAAGTGGCCTTCGGCGTTCAAAGGTGAGGGGTATTGGACGCAGGTGCGCAAGATTTTGGGATGTCGAGCGCGCATTTCGGACACAGGGCTAACTCCAAAGACAAGCGAGTGGGAGTGGTACTACGCCCCACTGATCGGGCGTTTATGATTCATGATGCAGGGTTAGGGTCCTCAGCCTCAGCAAGCTTTCTCTCCCGACCCTTCCCCGCAAATAAGACAAAGCCGATGCCTTAACAGCAGCGTGTTCAAGCTGAGCTGCCTACTGGAGAGGCTTTGTAAGCGTCTCGAAGCTTAACAACCGAACCCCAAGCCCGAAACCTTACACCGTTCAGGACACTCGGGATTCATGAATATGGGTCTTGTCCCTTCCGCCACCAGAGGTTATGGCTGCCTGCGATCAGGGCAATCAATGGCGTTGGGCCACTTGGTTGCCAAGCCCCCGGACGGGAAAGCTCCAAACCCCAAAACCTCCCAAAAGCTCCAAAAACTATAGACTCTACAACGCCAAATCCCGAACTAAACCCAGAAGCCCTACCCTACCATCATGGCGACTCTACCACCCTAAACCCGAAACCCTAGACCCTAAACCCTCAACCCTCAACCCTCGCCAAAACCAAATCCTGAAGCCCTGACGCCATCAGGCCCTGTCTTGCCTCCGCGCTATAGCCCTGGAGAGCATCAAGCCAGATACGCTCACCCAAAATGGTGCAACTTGGACTATGGACTATGGGTTCGGCTGCAATATTCGGTTGTTTCAGAGTATTTTAGGGGTTTAGGGTTTAGGGTTTAGGGTTTAGGGTTGGGGCATTCACGGCTCAGACTTGTAGGGTGTCTCGGGCTGCTTGGAGTTTAGGTTTAGCCGTTTGGGCTATCGGGTTTGACGCGGAGGATTGGGGTGGAAGGTTTAGGAAGGGGTTTTGGTTTTAGGGTTTGGGGTGTGCTCACGACGTCTAGTGGGTCGGATGTTCGTGGGTGTTCGTGGGCTAGGGCTGAGGGAGATGTGGAAATTTCCGACAGCACCAGGTCTCCAACCGTGCTACTAAACAACCCGCAACCGAGTCACATAAGCTCTGAGAAGCCCCAAACCCCCCTAAGCCCTAAGCCCTAAGCCCTAAACCCTAAACCCTAAACCCTAAACCCTAAACCCTAAACCCTAAACCCTAAACCCTAAACCCTAAACCCTAAACCCTAAACCCTAAACCCTAAACCCTAAACCCTAAACCTAAACCCTAAACCCTAAACCCTAAACGCCCCAAGCTCCCGAACTTCAAGCAACAGCCACCCCCCAGGTCCTGCGAGCAGCCACGCAGCAGCAGCAGCGCCTTGGCCCTCCTTTGTTTAGGGTTTAGGGTTTAGGGTTTAGGGTTTAGGGTTTAGGGTTTAGGGTTTAGGGTTTAGGGTTTAGGGTTTAGGGTTAGGTTTTAAAGTTTAGGGTTCAGGGTTAGGGTTCAGGGTTCAGGGTTTAGGGTTCAGGGTTCAGGGTTTAGGGCTTAGGGGTTTTTAGGGCAACCCGAGCTCGGGTTTCCGCTCCAAGGGCCCTGTGGCAGGTCCGGTATTTACAGCCCTAAACCCTAAACCCTAAACCCTAAAGTAGAGGCGTTGGTGTGAATCACTTTCACAGCTTCTGATCTTGGACAAGATCCACTTAGGAGCTTCCAGCACCCGAAACCTTAAACCCTCAACCCTAAACCCTAAACCGTCAACCCTAAACCCTAAACTAACCCTAAACTAACCCTAAACTAACCCTAAACTAACCCTAAACTAACCCTAAACTAACCCTAAACCCTAAACCCTAAACCCTAAACCCTAAACCCTAAACCCTAAACCCTAAACCCTAAACCCTAAACCCTAAACCCTAAACCCTAAACCCTAAACCCTAAACCCTGAACCCTAAACCCTAAACCCTAAACCCTAAACCCTTGCCACTCCCCACGCATCGTAGGAACGCCCCTCAGAGGGCTCTCCGATGGGATCCCTTTTTTTCGGAACCAGCAAACTGCCGGTAGGGTGGGCTCACATCGCTCAGGGCTCATAGGGTTTAGGGTTGAGGGTTCAGGGTTTAGGGTTTAGGGTTCAGGGTTCAGGGTTCAGGGTTTAGGGTTTAGGATGGGTTTAGGGGTCGCCGTATGTTCAACGAAGATGTGCTGTTGGACTTCATGACCCGGCCTAAACCCTAAACCCTCAACCCTAAACCGCAGGGACGTGTGTACCCTAAACCCTAAACCCTAAACCCTAACCCTAAACCCTAAACCCTAAACCCTAACCCCGAAACCCGAAACCCTAAACCCTATGGGTTTCGACTATGCTTTTTGGGTTAAAAGCGTGTGCGGCCAATGGCTCCCGAGGTTGAGGTTTGATGCTTCGTAGCTGGGTAGTGCTTTTGGGTAATTTTAAATTTCCCGTCTTTCCCTTTCAAGGGAGCCTACGCATAAATACTATTCCAAGGGCACTCTGAGGAATGAGGGGAGGAGTCGGATTCCCTTATGGTCCTTATACAGTTATCCCCTACCCCTAAACCCTAAACCCCAAACCCTCAGTAACTTGAAAATCGTCCGAGGGGGGCATCGAGGATCTAGAGTTCCAGGGTGCTTTGGGTGAGTGAGGTGGCGCTGTGCTCTCGACCTCTTTGCAGAACTCGCGGCCCACATGCTGCACAGAGTGCTGCTAGAAGGGTTTAGGGTTTAGGGCTTTGGGTTGAGGATTTCGGGTTTAGGGAACCCTGAGCCCGAAACCCTAAAGTGTGATTATATGGATGGGTGTCGGGTTCAGGGTTTAAGGACTTAGGCAAGGCCAGGAGGCATGTCGTTGGCATCTCAAGCTGAGAAATGGGGCTAGATGCCTACGAATCCGCAACCTTCCTGGCACCCAACCTTGCACTGTCGGGTCACGGGTAGGTTTCAGGCTTTGAGGTGTTGGTTTCGTGTCTTGGGGTGAAGGGTTTTTCCGGTTTCTAGGGTACCCTAAACCCTAAACCCTAAACCCTAAACCCTAAACCCTAAACCCTAAACCCTAAACCCTAAACCCTAAACCCTAAACCCGCGAGAACAGAACAAACAGTTTGAGACAAGACAGGGTCGAACTCATCGTCCTCCAGCAACGCAGGCCTGCGCTTGCTGTAGCCCACCCCACTCCGCAGGCTCCCTAAACCCTAAACCCCAAGCCCTAAACCCTAAACCCTAAACCCTAAACCCTAAACCCTAACCTGAACCCTGAACCCTGAACCCTAAACCCTAAACCCTAAACCCTAAACCCTAAACCTTAAACCCTAAACCCTAAACCCTAAACCCTAAACCCTAAACCCTAAACCCTTTCATATGGCTAAGGGATGCTCGGGGTTCTAAGGGAAGTTACACGGTCCCTTCTTATGGCCCCCTTACGTGCTTTAAGGGGGTTCTGAAGTATGGGCCCTTATGTTTCAAAGGGTATCAACGGGGCCCCCAGTGTAAGGGCCCATGCTAAGCCCTGAGCCCTAAACCCCAAGCCCTAAACCCTAAACCCTAAACCCTAAACCCTAAACCCTAAACCCTAAACCCTAAACCCTAAACCCTAAACCCTAAACCCTAAACCCTAAACCCTAAACCCTAAACCTTCTGATCTTCAGGAGCAGGTCGGCATACAGGCCAACGCCCTGACGGTGGCTGCAGTCCTCGATGCTTGCGAGACACGTGGCGACGTTCGAGTTTGGGGTTTCAGGGGTTAAGTAGGGTTTAGGGTTTAGGGTTTAGGGTTTAGGGTTTTAGGGTTTAGGGTTTAGGGTTTAGGGTTTAGGGTTTAGGGTTTAGGGTTTAGGGTTTAGGGGATTTGGGCAGGGTTGAGGGCCAGGCTTTGCAATCCCAAAATCCCAAACCTTAAGCCCTAAATCTCAGAACCCTGAACTCGAAACCCTGAGCTTGGGGGTTGGGGTTTCGGTTCAGTATTCAGGGTGCGCTACAGTAAGCGTTTCGAGTTGCAGATATTTGTTTTCCAAAAAGCCTTTGTTCATTTGGGAGTTTTGGGCTTAGGCTCCCACTAATATGCCTGAGGCCCAGGCTGTGTTGAGCCTGAACCTGTCGAGGCCCTAAACCCCGGAGAGACATCGAAAGACCTCGCAACTCTAAATCAACCTCTAAACCCTAAACCCTTTGTTTAGCACAAAGAGGTCAGGTCAATTCCATGGGGTGCTGTTTAGATGTACATGTAACTTTTGGGTTTGGGCCTGGGATAGAAGCCGACTTCTTCGTGGACAAGCCGGAATAGAGGACGAGACTTTGTGTCCGTTCGCAGCTGTAAGCTGCTCAAGAAGGGCCCTTCTTAGTACTGTAGCAGCCTGTATTGTACAGTTTTCGCCCCCGTGGATAGTGTTCCTGTACGTCGTGGACCTGATTGGCCAACTCGCATCCGGAGGAAAGAGGAGCCAAAAGGGTCGGGCGTTGACGAGGAATAGATCCTTTTCCCTAACCTCGGGATAGTTATCTGTTCTCTTTACAACTCATAGCCGGAGGCCGGAGGATACTGAGGGCAGGTGGCTGTTCAGGTGAATATCGGGATAGGTGTACAACACGCAGCCGGACGGCTAGTGGATACATCTAGAGCGATAGGTTACCACCCCCTGGAGATAGCAACTCTGGGGATCCTTCCGATAGTTAACGTCGGGAGTGGCTCGGAACGATTGGCTAGCTACCTTGAGTTCCCCGTTGACAGGGATACTGTTACTTCTGGTGCAACATTACAACCTACAACTGTAAATATACAACTTCTTTCTCCTCGTGTGGCCTGAGCTAGTTACTGGAACGGGTTGCGCAAGTTTTCATTGGTTTGGACACTTCGCACAGGTTAAGAGCCTTGTTGCTTGGCCTGGACGAGCTGTTCGAGAAGTTTTCTTGGTATAGCGAAGAGGTACCACTTGCATAGCGAAGTTTTCCGCGTTTGTCACTTGTGTTCGTTGACTGCAGCAATGTCCACACGTGATAGCATTGGGAGCAGTGAGTCTAGCGATAGTGATGTGTTGGGAGTAGGGAATAGATTTCTCGAGGACCAGGTCACTGCGGTCAATCAGAACGTGGCCGCTACCGATAGTCATGTGAGAAGCATAGCCGACGCCGAGAACGTGAACTTCATCGACGACGGACGGAATAGTGGAAGGACGGGAATGGAGATGGATAGCAGTGATAATAGAGATCGCCTCGGCCTCAGTTTCTCAGGACCGCTTACTGTAGACATCAGGTCGAGTGCTGCGAATAATATGTTAGTGTCAGGACCACCCCCAGGACTGACGGATAGAAACTTGGAGATCGTGGCGGCGATGGATAGTGTGGGGAGGTCGGGAGGACTGGGCTATGCCGGAATAGCGGACACGTCGGGCACTCAGGGGAGGGACGCAGACGAAGGTTTGCAGGAGTTGCTCGCAATCCCGTCGATAGCAGATAGAGGGGATGCCGTAATGCAGCTCAGCATGCTTGCAAGCCGTCCTGTAGTGTTTGATCCAGTTATGGGAGCTACAGATTTAAATGAGTATAGGGCCGGAAGAGGTGAGATAGAAGCGGGAAACGCTAGGACTCCGACGCTTGCTATCGAGGATCTGGCTGGAATAGATGAAAGGATGGAAGAGGGACCGTTCGTCATCCCCTCCGAGCCTGTGTCCCACGGGACGAATTACGAGTCAACGGGAGGTGCCAAGCGAATCACTGGTTCCAGGTTAGAAATGGCGATCGAGGACAGAGTGGATAGTCTTGCAGTGTCATCATCGTCAGATCATGATAGGGCGATCAGGAGGAATGATGATGGAATAGATGCGATGATGCCCAGTGGCGAGCTCGGTGCGGAGGGCGATCGAACGAGAAGTGCGGATAGCGGACATTGGATGGGCAGAGGGAATGGAGATGATCTCGTTCCAGGAGTGTATTCGAATAGTGCGACCATGATTGGGAATGTCGGTGCCGATCCTACAGACCTGGTGTTGATAGCTAAGGGATCGTCAGCGGTAGCGCAGAACGTGGTCAGTGAGAGCGATGATAGAGCACTGTCTGTATTTTCATCTACAGGTCTCTCGGAGGCATCACCAGGCGGGAACGTTGAAGCGTTGAAGGATGTGAGGATGGGTCAGACTACGACGATCGGAATAGAGTGGGGATCCCATGGAATCCGGAGTACGCTCGAGGAAACGGGGGTCATCACTGACATGGACTTTGCGAAGTTCTTCACAGATCAGGGGCCAGGAGAGCCTGGATCAACGCCCATGACGATGCAATCGGATTCGCAGGAACGGTGGAACGCTGGGATATATGGCGCCGAGATCGCAGGGGTAGAGAAAGACAGGTCACGAAAGATGTCGATGGGGTCGGATAGTGGGCACTCAGGTGGTCGATCTACATCATTGAAGAGGGATAGCCCGGGTGGATCGGAAAGTGGAGTTGGTACCACCAGCAAGATAGGCAAGATGGATGAGGGACTGCGTAAGCAACGAGCGGAGCAGGCCGTTAAGGAGATGAACCAGATAGCCGAGAGCGTCCCCGCAGCGAAGAAGTCGAAGTCGACAGAAATTGGGGGACCGATCCATCAGGCAGGAATGATCACCCCGGATCAGGGTAGCGAAGGATGGGGCAATCGATCCCCGGCTCCACGATCTCCTGGGATAGGTGGGCAGTACGAGCATTTCGGGATCGATACTCCTCCTGAAGGACGAGGCAGGAACGACGAGATGAGGGCAACATCATCCCCACCCAGGCGGGCAAAGATGAGAGCTCCTGCTGATCCGGACAAGTCGTCGTTGGGAGAGATAGATGGCAGGATAGATGACTTGCAGACGGTGGTTGTGGACACGCAGACCGACGTAGCCAAGCTTAAGGTGGCAAGCGAATGTGCAAGTGCAATTGCTAATAGCTCAGCGGAAAAGGCGGACGTCGTGAGCAAGAGATTGGTGGAATGCGAGGAGGAGGTGAAGCACTGGAAAGGTTGGATAGAATCGCAGCAGATAGATACCAAGACAACACTGTCGCAGGAGCTGAAAGAGATGAGTCGGATCATGGACGGGAGCGTCAGCGAGGATAGGATGGATGATGCAATGGCTCCGCAACTGACCGAGGGAGCAATGCAGCTCGCGCGGAGAATGAGACGGCAGGTTGAAAACGTGAAGGTGCTCAAGACCTCTGTTACGACTAGATTGAAGGGAGTGGAGGAGCGATTGTCCACAGCGGAGCATTCAGCGGACATAGCCAAACAGAGTACCGGGACGAAGATCACCACGTTAGAAACAGGATTGAACGAGGTGAGACGTGGCATAGGTGTAGTCTTCTCGAGCATGCAAATGCGACACGAGAATGGAACATGGAAGAACGAGAGACTGGATAAAGTAGAGACGGTTTTGAATAGACAGTGGGACCAGATCAAAATAGCGGGCGAGGAACTAAGGAAGCTGAAGTCCAAGGGGAGCCAGAAAGCCGGAACAGATACGGCATCGTCGTCACATTGCAACAGCCAAGGAAAAAGTCCTGGATGCGGATGCAGAGAACCTGGCGAGGGTCACGGCACGTGCATAGATGGGGCAGTGCGGGGCGAAACCAAGAAGCTGAGTGAAGTGGTTCTGGCGCAGAAGGAACACATAATGACCGTCGCGAGAGAGGTGGTAAAGAACCGCAAAAGCGTGGCTGAGATTGTGGCGAACATGACAAAGGTTCACAAGACTTGCGAGAATGTCGCTGCAAGGACCGATCGGATGGATGAGAAGAGAAACGGAGAACAGGCCTGGGTGAAGGATACCGTGCGAAAGATGGAAAAGACAATGGAATCAATGTCGAGCCGTATGATAGATGAGCAGAAGAGAGTCACCGGCGAATTTATCCTTGTCAATGCTCGAATTGATGAGAGCGCACGGAACGAAGGGGTAGGCAAGATGCGAGGAAACAGCGCGGAGATAGGAAAGCCACCGGCCATGTCACGCGGACGAGATAGTCACGGTGGGAGTGGGGGAGCCGACGGAAGAGCCAGGAGCGACAACGCCCGAGGGATAGAGGCTTCGAGGCCGGAGTTGGCAGGTCCTGTGGTAGATCGAAGGATTGAGAGTAGATGCATTGTGTTAGAACAGCAGGTGACCAAGATCACTAGTCAATTGCAGGGGTTGACCACTGTGAATGAGCGGATCGTA